GAGCGGCCCCGTCGGCCGCGCCGGGTCGTCGCTGGCGACGGCGATGGGGCGGCGCGTGGGGACGACGGCAGTGGACAGTTGTCGGTGACGTGAGCGACGAGCACAAAGGACGTACAGATATGCCGAGGCCGAGGGGACGGGGCCGTGATTATGAAGGATGAGTGTGTGTCGTCCGCTCATAGTGACAGATCAATTGTGCGTTCGGAAGATGCGGAATGGTAATGTGGTACATCAGATGCATCAAATAAGTTTTTTTCGTAGTCTTCTCTGAGCACTGCGCCTTCAAAATATTCGAGAAAAACTCGCAATGATGCCCGCGAGTGTGTTTGCTAGTGGACAAGAAGTTGTACCAAACAAACCCAGCCATGATCGGACTGTCGTCGATGACAATAGAAATAAAAACACATAGACTCAGAGGTAAAGCAAAGCTGAGCCATTCGTAAGTGCTCCTAGGTTGTCATGAGAGAACGAATATGATGACTAGTCTCTACCGAAGTAAATAACCAATCTGCATTGTGTCATGAAGAGTGCCCTAAAATAAAGAAAACCGACGTCCATAAAACAAATATTTTATCCGCAATCAAATGTCTTATCATATAAACAAAAAAATAGCACCTAGTTTTCCTACTTTCCTAGTTTTCCTAAACACAACCGAGAATGGACTGCGGAAAATTCGGTGTAACGCTCCACCTGTTCTCCACCTTGCCTGACCGTGATCCGACCCGCGACCTCACGCACGCTACCCGTGTAGGGAGGGGGAGGAAAGGGAGGGGGCGGGGTCGTCACCGATCGGCAGGTCGCCAATCAGCGCGTGAATAATATATGGGCAGACCGGTCAGCGCCGTGACAACACTGACCACGGCACAGCGGAAGGGGGAGCGGTGTGGCGTTCGCAGTCATGCGTGTTCAGGAATCCGTAATGGAAGTTATCAATGTTCGGAGTCCCTGTGCAGAGTCCAGTTCGACAATGCAGTCTCGGAACCCTACTCAGAAATTCCGTAACTGACTACAAAACCAAAAGTCAGCAACTGTAGTTATTGTCTTTAGTTCCTGTTCAACAGCCTCGATCCGGATCCAGAGTCAGGTCCAGAATCAGTAGGAAAATCCGTGTCATACGCTCCAGATTTATCTCAGAACCGTGTAGATCAGGGTAAAGCGTGGAGGCTTACATCCACCAGATAAGTTGTATTGACATCCGGACGCCGGTCGCTGCAAGTTTCTGGCCAAATGACACTTTAACCCGCTCTGTATAGAGCAGAGCACAAACACCATTTCTAACTTATCCGAAGAAGAAAAAAATTACTTCGTCCTGATTTTTTCCTACAACAAAGTTTTCCTCTCTTGGCATCTGGCGCAAACTTTTTGGCCTTGTGTTTTTCTATGTAGAAGTCGTGTCGTAAAAGCACCACTCTGCATGTTATTCCCCATCCCGAACTCGACAGGACAACAACCACTAAGCGAAGGAAAAAAACAGCCGAGAGGGACCCACTCCCATGTTCTCCGCCCGACCACTCTATCTGGTCACCAGTTCCAAGAACTAGCCATCTCCTTCCTCTCTCGCCACATCTCTCAGCAACATAGCCCTCCGCACGTCAGCTCAAGAGACAGTCCCCCGCCTCGACGGCCCACTAAGAGGTAGCGCACCGAGTCAGCAGTCTGCACCCGCCCCCCGCGGCCGCAAATGACGAAATAAGGGCCAGGTTTGTCGTCCATCGACAGAGACGGATAGCGGAGTCGTGGTCGACGGGCAGACGACGGGAGCGACGCAGTCAGGAGTTACGTAGACAGACACAGAGAGGACACCGGTGGACGTAGTCACTCGGTCCGTCGTAAGTGGTACGGAGGATGTGTGGTCAGCGTGTCCCTGGGGTGCGCGGCTGAGTGCGGGCTACTTAGGGAGGGCAGAGCAGGGGGGTGGCAGAGTGGTGGCTAGTCCTGTACCAGAGTGAACAGAAGAGACACAAAGGGAAAAATGTCCAGCTATCGTGAAAGCGGCATGACAGTCGTCTTTGTACTGTCTTACAATCAAACAATGCCTGAAAAATGGGCACATTTATGACCGAGTTTATCTGCGCCATTGAACATGTCTGATAGTTTGGCAATCAGTCAGTTATGGAGTTCAGATACAATTCGGTAAAGCGGTAACATCAAGCCATACGCGCACACCATTCGGATGCGCCGACCTATTTGCTAATGCTGTCAAACGGAGCTCAAAACATTGAGAATAGCGTCGATCTCTATCTTGTCCATGCATTCATCTCATACATCGATGAGTATTGTGCAAAAAAAATGTGTGATTATGTCAAAAAAAAAATCCAGAAGTTAGATGACAAACAAATATTTGTCCGGTGATGCAACGATCCTGCTAAACGGTGCTTCTATGTCATAAGGCCAGCCTTTTTAATCCAAAAAGCTGACATTGAAACGACTGATGAAGCGCGACCAAAGCATCTTTAGCATGGGCACTGGGCATTCCTCACTCTACCCATCCAGAACTTTCTCCGCAAACCCAGCCGAGCCCCACCCCGCTGCCACCTATACCGCATCACAGACCGCCTCCATACCCAGCCAGAGGACTCAGTCGGTGTGGGGGCGGCGCCACCTCCTAGGGCAGAGGTAGGTCGGCGGGAGGGTCCACTCTCTCCAGATGCAGTGGCGCCGTAGACAGTGTGAAGGCGACACCTGACGCTGACTTGAGTCCGATACGGACTCAGACTGGTTTTTGATTCACCTTTTTTGGATCGATTCAATCATTGATTCATTTGATTTTTGTTTGATTCAATCACCGTTTGATTCCTTCAAAAAATTTGGTGAATCGATTCCTTTTGATTCAGAGAATCAAAAAACAATAAAAGGAATGATTCACGTTTGATTCAGCCAATTTTTTTTGAATGATTGATTCTTTTTTGATTCAATTAAAAAAATAAAATATACAAAATATCAGGGATAGTATTGTATTTGTTGTGTTCTTTTTGCTGTCATGTAATGGCAGTAGTGTTAATATTTGTTGATAATGAACTATGTTCGTTCACTTCAATTTTTTTAAGCTCATGAATCATTTATTTTTTTGATTCAATCAACCCTGATTCCCAATGCGTTTGATTCAATCATGGCTTGTGAATCAAACAATCCTGACGGTGAATCAAACCTTTTTGATTACACAAATTTTGTTTGATTCAATCCAATCGATTCAATCACAGATGAATCAAACACCAGTCTGGATACGGTGCGCATGAATGAAAAGAGAGACATCCCCTGGCTGGCTTGTAGAAGTGCTGTTGAGTTGAGTTTATTGTAGGGAGCATCCACGCTGTGGCTATTCTGGTCTCACATCAGATGACACATCACCCAAACACATGATCAAGACGCATAAAACACCAGATACTTCTAAAAGTACAAGCAGAATGGGCAGAGGGTACACATTATAATCACGTTAAAAAAACACCAGCTAAAACAATATGAGGCCTAGGAGCAATTGAGCGAGTGAAAAGAGTGGAGCATTAAGGCCTGTTACAAGTCTTGGTGCACATTTGGTTTGTAGAAGTCACCAAGCTAACTCCTGCCCATACTAACTTTATATGCAATCGGTACCACCGCTTCAGGAATATTCAAGAAAAAGATGCATTTGCCTTACCTCTCCATTACTGTCTTGTAAGTTGTGGATTTTGCTAGGTAATGGGTCCCAAGACGCAAGCGAATCTACAAACTTCCAGTCAGATGTAATCAGTCCATTTCAACGATAGATCAAGAATAGCGTCTTCGTGACGCTACCTCATCAATCTGACTTTTGAAGGCAGCTAGACTAATCGGTTTCTGATGTTATTTCAGCCTTGCGTTTATCAATTCTGGCAATAAGATGACCTTGCACATACCAAAATGCAATTCAAGAGTAATTATACCAGTAAAACGCCTTTTGGGCGAAGAACGAGCGAGCGAGATAGTGAGCCCTGCACGTGCAGAAGGGCGAGAGGGTACTTCCAACGGGCTTGTGCAAAGCACCCTTCTAACCGGTCGCTAGCGGTGTACCAAATTTGAACGCAATCGGCCCAGCCGTTCCTGAGATCTGGAAGCGGCATTCTGCACGTGCGCACGTGCAAACGGGGTCAAAAATGACTTTTGCACGGCACCCTACTAACCTGTCCCCAACCGTGTACCAAATTTGAGCGCAATCGGCCCAGCCGTTCTCGAGATCTGGAAACGCCCCCTGCACGTGCGCACGTGCAGTAGCACCCTAACCGCAACACATGGGAATGCATTGCCTGGTGGGTGCCTACCTGTATGCCAAGTTTCAGCGAAATCGCCCCAGTAATTACCGAGTTATTGAAATGGGACCAAATTTGGCACCTCTTATTGTTGTATTTTGCACGTGCAGTGGGGTCACTCACATAGATGAAGAGTATCCGACCTTTGGTAGAAGGGATGCAGCTACCCTATAAAAATGACCGCAAGACAATCGCTCAAGCCGCTGCTGAGATATGGGCCTCTCAAAATCATTACTTTTGCAAAACTGCTTGAACACCCTTGACTTTTCACGTGGCACGTGCCACGGCGGTCACTGAGATGTATCAAAAGTAGTCAATTACGGGGTAGAAGGGATGGGGCTACCCAGCAAAAAAGACCGCAGGCCATTCGGTCCAGCGGTTGCTGAGATATAAGCCTCTCAAAAGCGTTACAGGCCGGGCCGGGCCGGGCCGGGCCGGGCCGCTCATACTGAGATTTTTCCGTTATATTGAAAAGACTTCGCTTCGCTCGCTGCGCTCGCTCGCTCGTAATTAAACGCATCCGCTGAGTTGTTGCCTCAAAATCTCCTGAGCTCGAATCCACTGAACTAAGCAAACATGAGCAAAACTGGACATAGCCGTCTTTCTCCAAATCGCCTAAGCGAGCTTGTTGACCGGATGGCATCTGCACCACTGCTCTGCGAGTTGAGTCATGGGCGCACGACTACCGTGTGGTTCATCTTTCTGCCAAATTCCCGCCACCATTATTTAATTTCTCACCTGTCCGCGGTACCTCCGGGCTGGATGCCCTGTACGAAGATCCCCAGCTCCTGATTCTGCTCGCTCGCCAGGCCGGCCACGCTGAAGCCCAAACTAGCGCCATCTTCCTTGCAGAGCTGAAACCACAAATACGACATTCAGTCACCAGACTACCATACTGCACTCCGCGCGTGTGCCACGCACTAAATAAAACCTCCTAATTCTCTCAGGAATTCCATCGTACGTAGCATCGTCAGTAGCACGAAATATACGACCTTGAGTAGCGCCAGCTGCTTTAAATCCACTACGGATATCCAGTGCCTATCCTAGGAGCTGCTCTATGGAATGTCGCGTTTGGCCAGCGCGTGAGCCCGTGGAATGTGCCGTGTGACGACGACAGGAAAACCGCACCCGGCACTCCCTGTAGGATAAACGGTGGGATTATGGTACGTCACCACCGTCCAACCGCCATGCGAGCACGGGCAGCGGAGTGCGGGCGGAGGGTGATGTGGCGTGGTGCGGTAGGGTAGGGTATACTATGGCCAAGTATGACAGGCTAAGGCACGGTACAGTATAGTACAGTATAGTACGGTATGGCACGGTATGATACATTAGGGGTAATTACAGTACAATACAGCATTAAGATACAACATGGGACGCTTAATAAAGGATCGGTACGGCATGGTACGACATCACATACCACGCCGCGTCATGAGTCACAATTCATCTAACACGACGTAGAATGATATATGGCATGATGGTACGGCACGGTTTATGACACAAGACAGGAATAAGATCTGAGATGGCAACTCTCAGAGATGGCAGAACAGGAATAAAAGAATATAAAAAATTATGACATTTTTCACTTGACATGCTGCCATCATTAAATCTAAAGATAGCGCGCATAGCGGCAGCACCGGCGTTTACGTCGTCTATATGTCGTTTTATACACTCAGGGGAATACCTCGTCAAGGTCGCGCCGCAGTCCACTACAATACCCGCCGTTAAAACAATGACAGGACACTGCCTGTGAACCATTCTGACACACCCCAGCGACACGCCATAGGGTGGCGTAACGGACACGAACCCTGCACAAGTGTTCGACAGAGTCGCGTACCCAACAAGTGCAAAGTGTTCAAGTCTGCAACAGACCGACGCGGCGCGGCGGGGCGATGACGGCCAACAGACGGTCGGCGCCCGCCAGCCGCCGTCCGCGCACGAATACATGTATTATGCATGGACATTGGGCAATCGTTCCTGCAGACATACAGCTTAGTCGGCTGCCAGCGGCTGGCGGTCGACGGAGACTGCCGATACAAACGACAAATGGGCGGAAAATGGGTAGCAAACTCAGCCATAACTTCCGGAGGGTGGTTAAAAAGTGACAGTGATCCATTTCAGCTATCAAAAGTTTCGGGTAGTTATTGGGGGCTGGGAAGCTGAACCCATAAATAACGGATACGTGCCTTTTTGTAGACTGTCAAACACGATCACACAACCGGACATGCTCGTAGATTTACTGCATATGCTAAATGTACGACATCAGAGCTTGTCAAACTACCGACTAGATACGCGGCGAAGCGCTGATTTCGTTGACAGCTGACGCCTAACGAGAGGCACAAACGAGACTCGCCTGAAGAGGAGCGGCGGAAAATTCGTCAGAATATGACGTTAATTGGAGATTTAGGACGCTCGCGCCACGAGGTTGTTATCGCGTAAAAGACGCCTCAACCTCTGTCTCCAGCTTTCTGGGGGAGGGCTTCCTCGCGGAGCATGAAATAGCATTCACTTCTCGAATCTCGTGATGGCCTTCACCTTCGGTACACCTACTCGTAATCCGCTAAGAATCAGGTTAAGACGTGCTTTCTTTAAATCACTGGCATTGTGTTCCAAATAAATAACGGATAGTTGTGTGTGGGGGTTTACGTGGTGCATTTCGGAAACGAACAAAACGATCCGCTCTTTAAATTATTTCGATATGAATATCACGAGAATCATGCATGATTTTGATCATTTTCTAAGAAAGATGACAATACAAAGTCTGAGAATGGACAATATCGTTGAGTCAGATCCAAAAAGGACGATAGTCATGTCACGAAATTCAGAGACACGTATCTTGTTAGCCCTCAATGAATGACTCTTACTTTACTGATTAACATCACCGGGCCAGTTTTAGTGATCAAGATCAGTCGCAGCCGCTCCTAGCAGTCTGTTGAAACTCAGTTCCGCAAATTAATTCTTGAAGCCGGGATTTTTCCAGCGTGACGGGCAGCTCAAAAGAATGAAAAGTGAACGTTATCTGATCACATACACTTGCACACTTGTAAACCTTCCTAGATCTGACGAACTTGAGACACAAGCAAACCTCGAATCAAAACTGACCTCCCAGTGTACCACATACCAACAAACATCACAAACACAACAAAACACCACAACCATCAGCACCCAACAAACATTGCGGACACAAACACATCTTTTAATACTTTCCTTGTCAGAGAACCAGGGTTTACGTACCTCGATATGGACCACCTCTCTGCCTCGGGCCACCTCAGCGATGGCCCTCTCCAGTTCCCTCTCGTATGTTCCGGTCATGATGGGCGTCTGAGCCGATACCTCCAGATCGATGTCATCCAACTGGGGAGATAAAGAGTGAGAGACGGGCGGGTCAGCTGGTGATGAGCTGTGGTGGAATAGATGGGTCTGTCAGATTTGTGATATGTGGATGTCATCTGGTAAGTAATAGAAAAACATTGTGCATTAGACATCTGCGAACGTCATGAAAAAACATCGCGGCAGCTAATTTCAAGGCTAAATACACCAAAGAGAGATTACATGCTAATTTTTCCTTACGAGTGTTGCCTCATAATTGCATGTGCGCTGGATACTGAGAGTCTAGTGAAATGCGGGAGCAAACGGATCGTTCACTTCGAGTTCGCTCTTGTCTTCGCTAAGACTCGATACATAAATGCTAACGCACTTTGTCGATGACTCTATCGGCTGTTTCAACAGATATGTGTGCCCCCTCCCAATTCCCAAACGCCACACGCAATCTCGTGGCCTACGACTGTGTTACGTCTCTGAATAGATTTATCGCAAATGAGTATCGTCAGACTCAATGACAGCACACAAATAAGATTCGACTGAAGGTCAGCAGCCTTATCTCGCACTCTCGATTCCTCTTCACGAGCATTGATGAGTCAACTGATCTAATTTATATCAGAAAATGCATAAATACGCAAAGGCGTGGGACTATGCCGCATTCAAACAGTCCATTACAGCATCTGTATAGCAGAATAGAGCACCAACCAAACTGCAGCACCACAATTCACATCAAACAGACTGAGATGTATGAGTCATATCAGCACATTGAATCTCTGGCGTATCCGGCGGCAATCCACTAAGTATTCAATGGAATGAGCCGAGCTTTACGCTACAATGGCAATCCATGCAGTGACATCACAACCCACCTATTGTTTCGCGTTATCTCTGTGCGAGGTTTAATCCAGCCGCCAAACCCAATTCGCCGTCCGGTTAATGTCGCTATTCCAGCTCAGAGAACGACCCACGGGGCTTAGTAGGGGGACGTGCCGTGTAAACGCGATGGGGTGGAGTCAAGTGGGGCGGGGCGGGACGAAATGAAGTAGAATGGGGTAAAGTGGGGTGGGGCGGTTAGGGAAGGGATAGGATGGGATAAAAGGGACAGAGTACGGCCGGAGAGGGTAAAACAGGACATGGCGATATCAAGCAATATCGTCATACATTCCCAGATGTATAGGGACTGAGTGACTTTCGACGCTTCAAAGATGAGCTTATGCCTAGAGCTCCGTGGGACACTGGCTAGTGTTTAGAGCTCACCGCGGAGCGCAAGTAAAGCAATAGCAGATAATATGCAAACAAATATTGTGACATTCCGATGGAGATACGTCACAATAGATGTGCAGAGTAACAAAGTTTGGCACAAAGCCGAGTGAAGACATCATTGAGAGAATGGGAGAGGAGAGAGAAAGAAAGAGAGAGAGAGAGAGAGAGAGAGAGAGAGAGAGAGAGAAGGAGAGAGAGAGATAGAGTGAGAGTGAGAGTGAGAGTGAGAGAGAGTGAGAGTGAGAGCGAGAGCGAGAGCGAGCGTGAGAGCGAGAGTAAGAGCAAGAGTGAGAGCGAGAGTGTGAGCGAGAGCGAAAAGGAGAAGGAGGGAGGGGAGAGCAGTAACGGAAAAGACAGCCGGCAGACTCCGGCTCCGACTCTGGCTCCTCTGCCGCATTCCCTGCATAGTCCGCCTCCATCCCACCCATCCACCCACCTACTACTACCTACCCCTCCCTCCCCCCTACCCACCGACCGGGGACGGGGGAGAGGGGGAGAGGGAGGAGGAACGGACCGGGAGGGGCGGCTCGGCGTTCGGAACCGCCGTGCTCCGACGCGCGATGGATGATGTGTTCGTCTGAACAGGTCCGGAACGACGAGCGAGAAACAGCACCGACGCAGTGGAGCCTGAGACAACGCCGAGAGATAACTAGCGGGGGCGGAAGACGAGAAATCCGAGATGGGAACATGGGAGACCGGAAACAGAAGAAACGTCGGAAAATGATACATGAGAGGAATATTTAGAGATGAGAAATGGATATGCGAGAGACTCTCAGACAGAAAAGAGACAGCGGGAGAAGGGCACGAGAGACAGCAAGGAGACGGGCTCAGAGAGATCAGAAATGATGGAATGAATGATTTGATTGTAATTGGATTGTAATTGGAGGGACCGCAGAGGGTGAAGGCACTTAAAAGAAAAAAAAGAAGAAAAAAAAAACTTTGAAAGGTAGAAGGTCGCGGAAGGGAAGATGTTACCCAGGGATAAAAGAGGCCAAGAGAATAAGAGAGACCTCATAGAGGCCAAGGGCTGGGAGTATTGATACTGCCACAAGCAAACAGAGCTCGATACTCTGGTGTGGCTAAGCCAAGGAATTAGGAAGAGGCACGGAGAGGGCAGAGGGAACTCGATATTGGCGTAGCTAAACGAAGGAAGAGGAATAGAGGAGGGTAGAGGGAAGTAAAGTAAACACAAACAGTGGTATCGAGCCTGATGGCTGATACGGGGATCAGGATGGACGGAGGATAGGAAGAGGAGGGAGAGCAGGGAGAGCAGGGAGAGCAGGGAGAGCAGGGAGAGGAGGGAGAGCAGGGAGAGCAGGGAGAGGAGGGAGAGGAGGGAGAGCAGGGAGAGCAGGGAGAGGAGCGCGCCGCCAAACACCTCGACAGAGTGCCCGTTCGCCGAGGTAGGCTGGTGAAGATAGGGTGTGACGTAAGAACATTAATGCCGTGATAATCTGGTCTGGATAAGCCGACCGAGTAGCCTTCTCGAGGCATGAGGTGAATAATGTCATAACAGGATTACACTCTAACAAATCCGATAATTAAGATGTGTTCGTCTAAGGGACGCCTAAACGACGTTCGTCCTAACATGCCTTGGAAGTCGGACTTTGGAGTATCGTCAGGCCGCCCACTGACCGCAAATTACACATCTTAACGCCTCAGACATATTATCGGAGCGTGACTTCTGGGAAAGATTTCCCAAACTTAACAGGAACTTTCCGAGCAGCATTATGTCAAATGTCAGCTCGACAATGGTTCGTCGCGGCCTGCACAGTTGACCTTTTCCGAACAGAACGTGACAGCACACTTCTGGTGACAGTCCGTGTTCCCATAACGTTCATAAGAATATAAACCATGCTTGATATTCACATACCACATTTAAGTGAATCATGGCACTCTCCAACCGGTAAAAGGGTCCCATCTGAGGGTCAACGATTTCTGCTGATTAAAGCTGCAACAGAGACCGATAAGGAATAATGAAATTTAATCCACCGTAATTCACTTATCGCGTCCCTGTGACGTCAGGAAGCCAATAGCGGCTGCGTGAGCCGTGAGCAGCACTATCGCCCAGTGCCTCGGGCACGACAAGGCCGTATTGATACGTGCCAACAGCCGAGGGGTCGGATCACTGTTCAATGTTCATTGCTCGACTCAGTACCAAACACGACCCCATTACAACAGATCACACCCCAGGGAAATTCGACACGTTACGATGTGTGGAGACGGCCTGCAATAGGACCACAGCGAAACGAGAACTGAACAGTCAACGGTTAGCCTATCATACAACCCGGCTATTTCGTTATCGTAACTGGGACATAACTGGCCAACTGTTACGGCACCGTTTTGGCCAACAATCGAACCATAATCAACCCTCTCGTTTGAAATTAAGCCAGTCCTGCTCGTTCATTCATACAGTTTACAAAAAGAAGTCGACATATATTCTAATAATGCTTGGAATGACCCTCAGCTTAATACACCCATTCAGACAGCTAGCAAACAACACACTCCACAATAGCCGGAAGAGTACACCCCGCCTCTCGACCTAAGAGCACATCTGACCCCTCCCCCGCCCACCTCTCGGAAACGGGAGGGGCGATGGACAGCTCTGGCCATCGTCGGCCCCATATCCCCACTATCCGGAGAAATTAGCCAGCCAGCGGTAGCGGGCGGTCGGGCGCACTGCCAGCCGCCATCGGACGGAAGGCGGGGCAGTGGTCACTGGCCACCCCCCCCCCCCCGTCCAGCTGAGGGGGGTACAGGGGGTGACAGAGGCCAATAGGAGAGGACAGAGCGAGGCCGATCATTGGAAACTCATCAGGGGGATGATGACGTAAGCAGGGACGGCGGTGGCGGCAGAGGCCAAGGGTTGGCGTGGAACGGACACATTGGAGAGAGAGAGAGAGAGAGAGAGAGAGAGAGAGAGAGAGAGAGAGAGAGAGAGAGAGAGAGAGAGAGAGAGAGAGAGAGAGAGAGAGAGAGAGAGAGAACAGTGAGAGAAAGAGAGAGAGAGAGAGAAAGAGAAAGAGAGAGAAACAGAGAAAAGAGAGAGAGAGAGGGAGAGAGAGAGAGAGATAGAGAGAGAGAGAGAGAGAGAGAGAGAGAGAGAGAGAGAGAGAGAGAGAGAGAGAGAGAGAGAGAGAGAGAGAAACAAGTGAGAGAAAGAGAGAGAGAGAAAGAGAAAGAGAGAGAAACAGAGAAGAGAGAGAGAGAGAGAGAGAGAGAGAGAGAGAGAGAGAGAGAGAGAGAGAGAGAGAGAGAGAGAGAGAGAGAGAGAGAGAGAGAGAGAGAGAGAGAGAGGACACCGGAAATAGGTTCGGGTGGCGTTCCGGGCGGAAAGCACGAAGAAACACCTGCTAATGCTCAGACCAAGAAGACACCGAACCTTTGTTGTACTACGAGTATGTAGTTAATGTGACCCTACTGAATAAATAATGAGGGTGAATTATTCATGTCATCATCGCTTGTGTGTATGTGTGTGGATTAACTCAACTCAAAGGAAAACTGGAGGGTATATGTCCTCCAAAGTTCAGAACCATTTGTGTAAATTACCGTGTATGTGCCACCGTAGCTAAGAACACCATTATTGTGTTACAGATACCCAGGTCTGGTCCTACCCTGGGGAGACGTAAGGAGACATTATGCATGCAGGGACCGACAGGGACGACTCAGTAACAAAATGCCGCCATTTTAGAGTGAGTCGGTGCAGTATTGCATTCCCACCGGAACCCGTCCCAACTCCAGGGACCATCATCTCGCCTCCCTGAACTTTAATATCGCCTCAAGCTAAGATCGCTTGTTTGTTTGTTGGGGCTTTAGGGCGCGCCGACTACAAGGTCATTTTGCGCCCATTAAGCTATGATCGCTCTTAGTTCATCTCGCCCACAGCAGCCCTCATCTTACCTCCACGCTATCATCCAACTTCTGTCCGTCCTCCTTCTCCTCTTCCTTCTGTTCCCCATCGCTCTCCCTCGCTGCCTCCTCCTGTTCCTCGGGCGCTGTCTGAGGCTCCTCAGTTACCACAGGGGTCGGCTCCGTCTCGTCAGAGGGAGGAGGGTGGGGCGCCGGCTGACGGGGGCTGGGACCCCGAGCTGGTGCCGGAGCTGCCGCTGCCGCTGCTGCTGGAGGTGTGGGACGCGACGCCAGAGGAGTGAGATGAACCACCAGCTCGCCAGAGTCCGGCACGATGTCAAAGTCGGCCGGCAGGAGAGAGGGGTGAGCCGCCAGCTGGCCACGCAGGCGACACAGCGACTCCTGTGAATAGAGAGGGGGTGAAGGGTCAGGTCAGAGGGGTTACGGGGTAGGGTAGAAGGGGGCATGGGAGACGGGTTGAAGGGTTTTGGGAGACGACCATGCGCAGGGAATTAGGGAGGACAGGGGAAGACCACCGAGGGAGAGAGAGAGAGAGGGGAGTAAGACAGATATAAGCAGAGAGTGAGTGAGCAAGGAAGAGAGCAGGTAAGAGGGGAGGAAGGGAGGGAGAGAGAAGAGAGACCAGTCGGCTAATGAGCACAGCCCAGAGCGGTGGGGGGCTAATCGTTAATGATGCTGGCTTCTACGGGCACAGGGTGCGAGTGGAAAAAAGTGTTGTACTGGAAAAGACAAAGACAACATCTACGTGACGTTTTAGGCCTAGAACACTAAATATTAATTATCTTAAAATAACACTGACTTCTTACTTAAGCTTGCAGGGTCACTCATTTCGAACAAACACGGAAGGGTCAAGAATAAAATGTCACTTAAGCAAACAACTCAGTCAGAACGCAAAGGAAGTCGGGCTAGTCAATAGTCATTACAAATACAAAACGTACACGAACGAAAGGAATAAATGGATTAGAAAGGAGGAGGATTTAAAGAACACGCAAATTGGAAGGCAGATGTTCAGATCGCACGCTCTTAACAAATAGGAACATGTGAAGATAATTCGTGAAACATCAGGAAAACGTCAAAACAGACCCACCAATAAGAAATAAGGAAACAACCAGCCAGTAGCGTCGGCTCCTCGTTGCACTGCCAAACATCTCTCACTCCAGCTGTCACTGATTAAGACAGATGACCCACCAAAAACGCTAAGAAGATACTCGCAGAGGCCTTGGGAAGCAAATATACCACCCGCGTGGTACGAAGGAAGGTCATTCCATCACGATACTATCACTACGAGTGTCTGGCCAAACAGTAATGCCATTAACTTCCAGCGCGGTGAGGGCTGCACCGCACACCACTCGCTCGCGTGCGCCCACCAGTCATATTCCGCAGAAAGGGGTAGGGATGGGAATGAGCTATGAGCTGGGCTGAGAGCTATGAGCTGAACGAAGATCTATGAGCTGAGCGCCATAAGAGGAGAGGTAAGAGTTATGAGTCAAGAGCTGGATGTTAGCTGAATAATGAATATTGAACAAGTTAGCTATTGCTGACTGTTACCTAGCGCAACTGAATAAAACGACGACTTAAGCAATGTTGTCTATCATGAGCCGCATATTCAGTCTATCGTAGAGAAACTTTCCCTGTCAACATTAGCACGACCTATAACCTCCGAAATGTGAGCCGGCAGCGGATGGAAAGTCCCGGGTCACGGAAACTCCCGGCGAGCCGTGCAGAAAGTTGCTCTGTGTGCCGTGAACCCCTGCTGACCCGGGCCCACTCAGCACACCCAGCAGCCGCGCCAGTCACCGGAGCCGCGCCCACCGACGGGTGACGTCACTTCTCCCACCTCCAATCAGCACGTACAAGTGCCGTAACGAGCCGGGCGCGGAGGGCGAGCGGGCGAATTTCACCGGCCCGAGCTCGACGATCGGTGTCCGAACGTGTGTCGAAGACGGCGCCGGTCGGCCGGACCCGGATCTTGGCCCGATTCCGGCGAACTGAGTTCGAGAAGTGTAGCCGGCTGCACGGAACCGTAGAATTCCTATGCAAATTGGCAACAATTACATTCAAGAAGTGCAACCAAGTGTGCATTCATATTTCACATATACCAGAACGATGTTACGGCAGGCTGAAATGGCTAGTTGAACTACGCAGTACGCGGGTTATTCAAATGAAAAATAGTATCTGCATCAATTACCAGATGCTTCTAAAAAAAATCCTAATCATATTCAAAATGACGTTCCAATAGCAAAAAAAAAAACTTCCATCGTCAAGTAATTGGTGAAGCTACAAGTTGTTACAGCCAGCGAAATAGCTTGGCCGAAGTCATTCTACTGATTGTTGAGCAAACGAATTGGATGTATCCATCCGCATTAGAATGCCATAGACATACTGGCTCGACGCCAGTGGAATGCTGAATGAAACGTTTCCCGAAACTACACGTGGCTCAGGCAGTACGTCTGACTTTGCCGCCTGGAACCCACAAATTTGCCACTACTCAGAATAAATAATACTTTTATTTTACGGCTAGCGTAGCAGCCACCGTCATGACATTACAAAAGCTGGCGTCCCGGCCTACATTTCAAGAACCGTAATAACTCCCTACAAATCTCGCACACACCGACCAAACCATCAAACATTCACACCACCGCAGCCCATATACCTAAAATACCCGAAGTTACACCCCTTTGGCCCGCCATCGGTTTCCCTCGGACAGACAGGAATATCCTCGCCAGCTCATGGGGCCACCAGACTCCGTACAATTCCTCCGACTGGCCATCCGAGAGGGCGGACGTGCCGGTCAATATGTTACCACGCCGGCAACCGTCACCATCCATTCCAGTCACGCTCGGACAGGCCGCCTCGGGTGGCGACGGCCCTATTACAGCCGGCTCATCCCTTATTTAGGAGCGGCGCGCCGCCACAGGGTGTAGGGAGGTACAGAGGTCGGATTAGTAGAGATTTTGACGCCCCAGAGGTCAAGGGTTAAGTGCAGGGAAAGTGACCGATGTAATTAGTGGAATGACAGCTAGATGAGCCCCGGAAGAAGCAAGATCCGAGTTGTTCCTTCCTGTATACAGGAGCAGAAGAGTTCCGGTGGATTATTTTAATGTTCACAAATCAAGCAACAGGCAAATGCTAGTCCATCTCTGCCAGAGATACAATATACTGAATAGGAAATGCTGCCGTCTACGAAAAACGAACGACTGTACCATCACTGTCAACCAGTTAGCTATCTGAAATATGTCGGATCGTCTAGCATGGCCCGACTGAATCCACACACGTGGCATATTCGTCGTTACATAACTAAACCGCTTTTACTAAAATGGAGAGAAGTGAACTCATAATGTGAGAGAGATATTGAGCGTCGAAGAGAGGCTAGAATAATGAAGACCATTAACACGTATAATGAATAGCCCAGCATTTTAAACACGCTCCAGATCCCCACTCCTTCCAATTAGCACGCACCTAAAACCTTGCGGCGCCTGCGCCCTCGGGTCCAATAAAGGCAGTTAATTAGTTCATCGGGGCCACTCCAAACACTAATTACCCATGTCAACACATTGTTACAATATTGGCTCAATCCAAAATAAACAGAAAGAAAGTGCCAAGCAGGAACAAACAACAGCTATTTCCGTCTACCGTCACTCTTGATAGGGCTACCAATCGAAAGCTAAATAAGTCATCTACCTAGTTACTCCGCACTTATCCTCTGTGCCGACCTCGTCTTAGCTAAAGGTTTGCAAGTTATCTCTCTTTTTTTTAAATAGCTGTCTCTGGACTTCACGCAAACCACTTCCGTATTACGGCATATAATACAACAGACACGTTCAATTTCAATGAACCCGAACTTTGCATAACATTAGCTTGTTCAACCACAAATACGCAGATGCCCAGGGCAAACTTAGAGCTGAAATCATGGCTGAAATCAGCGATAAAACCGTAATGGACGACCCAGTTCAATTTCATTACACATTACACAACTGATAAATATCAGTCTCATAATTGACAAACAAAAATAATATCAGTCAATAAGTCTAGGTAAAGCAATGAAAATCATTTCATTGACTATACCACCAGCAAACACAAAGGGTCTGTTCCAGTCGCACTTCCTAACAACTCTAAACTTCTCCAAGAGCAAGATAGAGGAGGTTGGAGCAGGGCCCTCCTTGGCTTTGTAGGGGCGAGAGCTGCCACTGGAACAGGGAAGCAATCTTGGAGGAGTTTAGAGGTGTTAGGAAGTGCAACTGGAACAGACCCAAAGATGCATGAATCGACTGGAAATAACCAATTGGCAGTTAGACGGCAGGTAGCAGGCCTGTGTATCGTCCTCACCTGTATAGTAAGCATCCTGGCCAGCATGGGGTCCTCGAGGAACGCCGACAGCTTGGCCAGCTGGACTCCGATTTGGGGGTCCGCCGACGGGGCCTCAGGGTCCTTCAGATGGCCCCGGACCCGATCCAGCGCGGCCACCGCATGCTGCACCTCTGCGCAGGAGATACTCAGCGTTAAACACGGGTAGGGGCAAGGCCGTATATAGGAGGTAGAACGGTTAGCCGTTTGTTTACATCGGCGACCTTGACAGATGACGTCAGCGGGTGTCTACCAATCTTCGCCAATATTTATCTTCGAGGATTGTATCCTCTAAGGCAGTTTGACATTAACCTTTAGGCTCCCTTAGAGCCTAAACAAGAAAATTTACAGCACAGCAAAGTCTTAAAAATCGACAAAACCTTGACACCCCGTGACGTCATCTGTCTCCTGAGCCCTCCCTATGTGGCAGCATAGAACCGTAACCCCCTGGGTAGGGGGAGCTGGAGTTTCAGAACACATAAATGTTTCTCTCAAAGATCACTATCTTTAAGATATTGTTACGCAGATATTGCTACGGTAATACGGATATCGTTATCCTGCGCGTTCTTTTTGCACCTTCTCGCTGGGATGATTTCGGACTATCACATAGATTGCAGCTATGAGTAGAATGCACTAGGATGACTTATGGTTGGTATGTTTAATAGTGGGACTGATATTAAAGAGCAAGAGGGAGGAAAGGAGAGAGTCGAGAGGGAAAAAGTGAGGGGAGGGAGAGATAGAGAGAGAGGGGGAAAGAGAGAGGGGAGAGGAAGAGGGAAGTGGTCCGTAACAGCCATGAAACGTAACAGAACCGCCGACTGAGACGGAAGTACCCTCCAACGCACACGACCACAGGGTCATTATTCGGCGGCCCAGTCGACCGGACGGGAATCTCGGAGCGTGTGAACCGTTCACTGTCCTGGAACCGAGCCTGAGCCGCCACTGGAGCAAGCTGGTGGAGACGGGAGGCACCCTGTACTGGATGCTGAATTTTCCGTCTCATCTTACCACTCGATTTTCGTTTTCACTATCCATTGGCAAAAAGGGTTTTGTTATTTGTTTATTGTTTTTAACATTGTGAACAAATGGACCTATTATTTTTGCACTATAGGTAAAAAAATATACTCACCTTCCCTTACTGGCATTATTGCATTTGAATGGTTGTCTTGAATGGACCGACCAGGCTCTGGAAAAGGCAAAACATGGTTACTTGTAAAGAACTGTTCAGTAGCACACATAACAAGCACCTGAAGTTAAAAATACAAAAAGCAAAATCATTTAACTTCACAACTTTATCATAAAGCTAATAGAAAAGTTTCTGCTCATAATGGCAAACAAGAGTGACATGACATTAATTTAAATTAAAAGCAGCTGAACAGCCAGCTATTTGAAGAAAAAAACACTTAACAATACAAACATAGTACAAACATAAAGGAATGATTTTATGTTGAAGTTTCATTCCGTCATCATAGGCTCAGTGGTATTTATTTACAAAAGGTCTGATCGTCAATTGTGGAGCGGTTGCTATGAATATGCAATGGCAGATATTGCAAGTTGTAGGTCATGTTTTAAAGGCCTTGGCAGGTTGTAGGTTGTAGATTGGTAGGTTGTGGATTGTAGGTTGGTAGGTTATAACTAGGTTGGTATTTTGTAGGCTGGTAGGTTGTAATTCAGTAAGTTGTAGGGCGTAGGTTGGTTGGTAGGTAAGTAGTATGTCAGGTTTAACTTTGTTTTTCTTACATTTAAGCCGTATATAAGTATGATGTTGATTCAGGATGTCAAACTGCGCAAGAATATCCTAAATTTATGCTTGAACAGTGATTCAGACTTATTGTAAATAATAACTGGTAAGGTTAGGTCAGGCTAGATTGTTTTGTTCTGTATATATCTATTTGATTAGACTTTATAAGCAAAATTTGCATAATTATCTCAAGAACTTAAGATTCTAGCAACCTTTCACACATGGGCAACAGCATGTGAAATGCCTTAATATACAATTATTGGCAATTTTCTTTCACCCACAACTGATCCCCACACGGCACAGGCAGGTCTCATGAGGAAATTTGGGCCGTTCCAATTTGTCACTTATGTGATGTCCAATATTTATCACCATGCTTTCCTCGTTTAAAGAGGGAGCACACGTAAAAACGAATATAAAAATAATAAATTATACGGCAACATGTTTATGTAAACTGAATAACTTTTCGGGGATTATATCTATTATAGCTGTGCAATGCTCCCCTGCGTGCTAAACAAGTGAATGTCGACGGCACAAACTCGATACTGACCCGAAGCAATAACACCAAAACAAATTAAATGGTGCGAACCTTATTTATATCGGCAAAGACAAACTTTCAAATTCCATAATACGCCACCACACCTTTTACCCACTCGGAGACAGCGACTGACGCCGAGAGCAATTCAAGGTTTAGCAAAGTAGAGGCGTGTTTCGGAAAGCCTCTTGGATGATTTCATGAAGTATTTTATTTTAAATATGTTTAACAAAGGAATTAAAACAGTTTTTATCATATAATGTACTATTTTTTCATGAATTTGCCTTTATTTATACATTTCTAGCAATCAATTACGAAATGTATGCTAATTGCTAAAGCTGACGTCACCAAAGTACCATCTGACTGCCGAGTATGCGTTGACAAATAGCGCAGCTCTCGCCGCACTTTGTGTTTCCCCTAGATTAAAAGATTATTTTATACAAATGACCGCTAGGTTTGATCTTTTTGTATGTATTTTTTACCTAATCTTATCGATTTTAATCAGATAATTCGACCAAGATATTTTGTTAAATATGGAATTGAAATATTGATGACAAATTAGGTCACAAATAGCTATTTTAAGGGGAAGTAATTTTAAAACTTTCCTCTTATCACAGTGTATATAAATACAGTGTCGGCAAATGAGCCTGGTCACGTGACCGGCGGACTCGCTGTTTTTCGAGGGATCCGCACGTGCGGTTGTGGCGGGGGCACCTCCCGGTAACTGTGGTGCCGACTCGCTCTCGGCCCCCATAGGGATACAATGGGACCTACTTTTTGATTAGCTCTCCTGACTAAACTAGGACGAATTTTTCAAAGATACAACTAGCACCACATGCAGTCGTGTGTAAGCTTTCTAACGGTACCAAAAATATATTTTTATCGGCAAAATTGAATAAGTACAGGCCCATTTTAGGTTCGATTCGCGCTTATGACGGAAGAGAAGCCACCACTAATTATAAATACAACGAACAAGTGTTGAAAACCGGAGTATAAATGCAGTTTTGAATTACATTAAAGCCATTTTCAGTCACTGCAACCGATGAGTGGAAGTGATCGGTGTATTAGGTCACCCGTTACCGTTAGGTATTACTTTTTAACTACCTACCAACAACACCCATAGGTATTGTTCTGATCTATTCCAGACAACAAACTAAGGTTTTGTGTTGAACTGTGCCAGAAAGAGCAGTTAGATCAAATATGGATACGAAGGTAAATAGGACTATACGAGCATCCATGTTGATACGTTTATGCTGGAGCTAGTAGTTGATAGGTGTTCCGTTCTATTGATGCGGGCAAACAACGAATCGGGGTTGTCATGGGCGAATCTATAGGTATAATTGTGTCTTGTATGAAACATGCACGGTATCTGCAAATACTAGAATGCTGCTGCTAAGCTGAAAGAAGGCTCAGCCGGACTTTTATACTATGAACCGGCCATGTTTAGTTTATGCCGGGCTCGAGGGTGCAGTGTTCGTCACGGGCCAGCCAACCCACAGAACACAGCCCATCCCAAGCGGGGCCCATGGGCGCCGAACCCAGCCCAGCTCAGGCCCATTGAATTTCACACGCTTTTGAGGCTTTTATGGCGGTCGCCGGAATATGCAAATGGTAGATCAACTCTTCAAAAATTGTTTCAATATCTACTTCGCTGGGAGGAAATGAGCTTTGATTGTCAAAAAATGCAAAACTTTGCATTTGTTACAGGCACAACATCCGAAATGCAACATGTGCTTACAGTTGTACGCCCGTCCTTAACATGGTTGTCATGAAAGTTGGGGGAGGGGGGAGGCGGCCGCACGTTGAGGGGTCACAGTCCGGTATTTTGACGCCCCCCCCCCCCCCTTTACCGCCTGAACGGGAACCTTCACTCCATCCCGTCCTCTGTATTAACCGCCTTTAAGCCCGCCCGATGACCCTGCCGTTTTCAAAGCCAACCTGAGCTGAGCAAGATAATTCGGTGTAAACGTCGACAACTGCAGTGAGTTGTGTGCAGTCCCGGTGTTCCGCTACAACATTATTGCACCTCTCGTTTTCGCCATCATCGACGCCGTGCACTTCCGAAACATGGATGCTCCGGGACAGTTTGAAACAAGTAGATGTCCTACACGGACGCTTTGCACATCCAGTGTCTATACATATTTCCATATTTCAAACAAATCGAGCAGAAAATATTATAACGAAACAGTGGCGTACAGCGTACAGCGTACAGCGGGGATATCTGAACAATGCACCATACATGACGAAGAGCCAGCAGACCCTGGTGCAGCTCAAGACGGCGGTCGTTGATACCACTCTTGTGCCTGCGCCCAATGCGCGCCAACGTTGGCGGGGGGGGGGGAGCAGTGAGTCATTCAATACGTTGAGCTACTTTGAACATGTTCCATAGCGGCCTGACAGTAGCAAATGTGTGTTGGCTAGCTGCGCAACTGAGTAAATTTTCACACAATTTTACTTCCTTTGATTTGCAAATCCTTTTATCTGGTAAACATGCTTTAATTAAGTAGAATGATAATGAAGTGATTCAGTTTTTGGAAACGTTTCAGAACAAAACATATTAAAACAATGTATCATACGTATTATCAGAATAACAACAAAGACCGCCGGCCATCGGTCATGAACACCGTTCACCTGTCACTATCACTGCCAGTGGAAACGCACACACACACGCGCGCACACGGACACACACGTCAGCCGCAGTCAGTTACAGGTAAGTTCCCAGAGGCCTCTCCGACGGCGGCCGGCCGGCTCCCAGAGGCTGCTCCGACAGCGGCTGGCCGTGGCTCCCAGGGACTGCTCCGACGGCGCGGCGGCTGTCGCTACCAGGGGCTGCTCCGACGGCGCCTGGCGCGCCGCTCGCAGATCCTCCTTGGAGTTCTAGCGCGCTGATGGTGGCTGTGTGATCCGCTTTCCCTTTCTGAGCTTGGTGTAGCACAGGCGACCTGCAACCACATCACAAAAACTGAGTTTGTGAATTTGAATCAACTTTGAACTGAACCACAACTATTATGTTTTTTATGAAGATTTACCAAACCAACAATTTCAACTTCCACACTGCGCTGACAGGTATACACATAATACACAAATAAAGGCTAAAACCGTTTTTCCACTTCTTCCACTTGTCATCAATACATTTTGCCCAAGATATGAGTGTGCAACAAGTAATACATATGACTAGCCTGCTGCATCGCTTTGATGGCTTCGTGCAAAATGTAAACCTAAAAATTTCGCTCTTTCTGATTTATGGCACATCACTTTTATGCCAATTTATTAACTTTTTGGAAGGTGGCATTGTCCCTTTAACACAGGCAAGCCCTTGCCGAGCCCGGCATATGCCCGGCCTCCTCGAGCTTAGGCCCGGCAAAAGTCCGGCGGGTCCGATTTTAAGCCCGACACCGGGGCCCTGTTTCACCGGTGATAGCAGCACGATGCTTTTACACGTGTCAAATTGGGTTTCCATGGAGACATGAACAGGCCCATTGCTCCAACACTACCACAAGTGTGACGTCAGCTCGCGCAATTTGATAGCAGCGTGGTAGCAGCGTCCCGTGAAACACCGCCCGGGCCCGTAGGCTCAAGACTTGCATCATTACTATGCATATACTGGTATGGTAAGCAACCTGGCATATGAGTTGGACTCAAACAATGAAGTTAAGTGGCTAGTGCTTACCGGAAATGAGCAATCTGGTACCCGATGTCCCGTTGTACTGGAAGAGTGTTGGGATGCAGCTGCCCTCCTCAAAATGACAGGAACAGAGCTGGGAAGTGCTCCTGGGAACTGCATCTGCACGTCTGTAAATGACAGATGCAACAAATGTAACAACTGGCATACTGTTCTTGCACGTGGACTTTTACATACAAAATGCCTTGTGTTTAGAGGTAAGATATTGACTCAGACAGCACAGCCACAGCTTCTAAACAAGATGGTATCACTGACACTGTATCATGTTATTTTGGCTCCAGAATCCAGAATCAGAAGGTTGACATCCTCACCTAGCAATCAAAATGTAGTTAATTGGCTTTATATCAATGTGAGGTGCTAAGAGTGAACAATTATGATTATTTACAATGCTTCAGAACATGGTCAAACCTTAACTAACCCAACCTACAGTGGTTCGCTAGCAACATTCGTAGCACGTCTTTTTTGTACATAGTAACTGGAATATATGCTAGGTAAGAGTACCTACATCTTTTCTTTTTTTTTGTTAAAGAGGTATGCATTTGGCCTGTAGCCTATAACACACCTCTTCAACCAAAAATATTTTCCTTACCCATCCCAACAAATCCCTTAGAGCTGCCTGCGGCATTACACTCAACGGATTACCAGGTCAAAGCATTACCTTCATTAGGTAACTTGTGGTAAACATGATAAGCTTTTAATGGATTTCATGTTCTCTTTCCTGTAATTAGTTTTATGCAATGGATTTGATTTGTTATGCTCATTATGATCAGCACAAAAATAAAACCTTTATATAAACAATATTTTCTGTATTTTAATAAAAGAAGAACTATATTTGGTAGTAGTAAAGCAGGCGTCACACTTCTTTTTGCAACCAAGGAGAGGTGCTGTAGGTTAGGTTGTAGGTTCTAAGTTGTAGGTACCTAGGTTGTAGAGTTTAGGTTGTAGGTATGGCTAGGTCAGGTTTAGTTAGGTTTGTTTTGGCTTGGTTCAATTAGAAAGCATCTCTGGGTATAGCACCTCTCCTTCATTGCAAAAAGTAGTGTGACGCCTGCTTTACAACTACCCAATATTCTATAGAAAATATTGTTTGACGCGGAAGCTTGCATTGATTAATCATGTTGTAAAATTCAAACCCATTGGCTGTTAGCAGCATGCCAATGCTGATTAGCTGACGATGACATGGCTGCATTCCTCAGCAAATTCCTCAAGAAGGCACTTTTCAGGATGAGAAATGGAATCTTTGCCTATGGTGATCATTGGGCTGTAAAAGCTCCTGGTTTGTGCTTGTCATTACATAACATTTATTACATTTATCATTACTACATAATGTATTGCATTTATCAATACAGCTAACAAGGACACATCTGGATCTTACCAAGGACACATCTGGATCTTACCTGACAGCCCTCACCCAAGCGACCCTCATCTTCTCCTCTCTTGGAAACCTCCTAAATGTACCTACATCTTGCAGCAACACAAAACTGAATCAGAGTAAGAGCTCTGCAATCTGCAATAAAATACTAGGCAGGTCACAGCAAAATACAAGAGAAAAGATTGAAAATCTGATACAAGCTTAAAATTGTATAAGATTTGGAGCAAGCAGTTTGTTGACGCCATCAAATGTATCAACCGCGCAGTATTTGTCATCAAATTTTGGTGCCGAGTCAAGGTCAAATGTCACGTGACATTTGGCCGACAGTTGCCTCTTATAATATAGGCCGCACAATTTTTTAAGGGCAACCTGCCTGAGAAAATGTGATTTTATTATTATGCTTTTCTTGCTACAATTATATGTATCATTATAATAACTTTTTATTCACCGATATTTCAGTATTTGTTCCTGATTTTTCAACGTCTTATGTAGGACATATTGATATAGCCTGACAGTCAGATCACGTACTGTGATTGGGACTTTTGATAGGTATTTGACATAATGAATTGAATTCTTCGGTTGATACTTATTTATATCTATTCATTTTGGATTGTCAGCTGTCCACGGATATTTTTTCTATCTAGGTGCTCTTCATCGACCCACAATGGATACTCAAAGTATTAGAAATGTAAGCTACTGTGAAAATCTTAATCCTAGCTATTTCGGTATCCGTAAAGCTGTAATATCCCAGACTGGAAAAAATACATCCTATGCCGAATATGTCAGGCGTAGTAGCGGGATTGTGCTGAAAATTTCAGCGCACATCTGGCGTAACTTTGCATGTGCCGAATTCAGCCCATGGTGGTGGCTGAATTTTTCGGCACGGGGCAACTATAATTAATTGGCGAAAGATGGTCACCGAATTTAGTCTGCACGCTGGTCAATCTAGCAGCATATTCGCTTTGCAGGCGGCTCTGGAGAGGTTTCAGGACAAGACGTCCCCGCCCCGATCATCCGTTCTTGAACTGGCAAGTTGCCCTGAGTACTTAGTGGAGGAGCGGCCACCTAGGTGAGGCATCAACCCTCGGTGTGGAGATAAGCATGGAAGACCTTGTTGAACATCGCGGAGCGTCAGTTAGTAGGTAATAGTGCAGTGGGTCCCTGCTACTGCGATATCCAGGGGATTGAGAGCGCGGACGACCTGGCAAAACAAGCGGCTGCCCTGCCCTCAACTGCCCGCTCGCTGATCAGGGCGGTTCATTGCGCGGCCTCGCATCGATGGCGCGACAACTGTTCATATTCAAGCCGCTCTTCGGGAGCACGCCGTCGCTCCCTATCCCCGGAGAGGACCGAGAGGACGCCGTTTCGGTGCACCAGCTGAGGGCGGGCCACTGGGCCCGCTCGCTCCAGTACCTGCACCGAATCGGCTGTCTCCACTCCGCGGCGTGCCAGCAGTGCCCAGACAAGCGGTGCCTCGCGGCGCTCTGCGCCGTGTGCCGAGAAGAGGCTGATGGGCAGGAGCGAGCATGTGCTGCTCCGGTGCCCGGCTCTCGCTGGCCCCCGCCAGCCTCGAACACACCGCTCCGCTGATTTTTGTGACCCGGGACCTTTCCGGCCTTGTTTCACGGCATGACGCTAGTGCGCTAAGCTTATTGAGGTATTGGGTTTCCGTGGAAATAGAAAAAAAACTTATTCAGACGCTCAAACATGGGAGAGCGTCCAAGGCCCCGGGACACTCTGTCTGGCTGGTATAGCCTTGATCTGTAGGTGTGCACACTGCACATGTGCTTTATATAAAAGTGGCTAAGTTTGGCACAAATCGGCACCCAGTTTTCGGCGCAAATCATGCAAAAATTTCAGCGCAAAATCGCTTGCTCTGAATTTCGGCGCTAGAGGGTCTCACGGGCGTCCGGCGTAGCGTAGGATGCATGTTTTCCAGTCTGGGGTATTGCCTATTTCATGCTGTGTTATGTTGTTGATGTACCTATTGGGATGGGGTATGCTGATGTTGATGGGTTGGTACCATTGTGTAAAAGATGGTCAAACCAAAATGCATGCAGACATAGGCACTGGCAGATCCAGGCCTGCCATCTGTTCTGAGGCAGATGGTCTCCTCCTAGCATTGCCAAAATTGATAAATAAATTTTTATAGGATTAAAGAAAACCTGACAACTTTTATAATAATGAACATGTTTTGGTACTTGTATGATGGTGGCTTGAATGCCTTTATTTAATCGATTGATGATTTAAATGACGTTTTTCTTTCTTTCTGCCAGTTGCGGGATTTTCTGCAGATGTACAACCGCATCTCGGAGACGTGCTTCACCCAGTGTATCAGCAGCCTGCTTGAGAGGGATGTTCAGAGTGATGAGGTAAGCCTTGGTTGAGAAATTCACCTTTGTTTCATAGGGATGGAGAGACATGGGTTATCTTTATGACGGTGACTCACAACACAGTAAATATATGAAAGCGATGATGGGCTGAATGGCGAGCATTGATAAATCGTATTGGCACAGGATGACAAATGATCAGGAAAGATGATGTTTAAGAAAGATGACTTAAGTTTAAGGTGGTAGGTAGTAGGTACTAGGCTATAACCTTGGCTCATTTTAACTGATGCGTCTGATTCAGTGCTGGAAATGAGGCCGCTTTCTGGTCCCGGCGTTTTATTCTCCGGGTGAGTTCGCCCCGTCTAGCCATGTACTCGTTGTCCATGGTCTAGCGCTTAGCCTTTCGGGACCCTCTCAGAGCCGCGGTTGTTTTCGCCGCTCGGCCCATTCGAGATGCAAAGTTGATAGTCGCACGAAGTTTATTTGGGGCCTCTGAATATACGACTTCGAAATTAATCGATTCTACAAAACCTTTTACTTTCATCTATATGCATACATTTAACAGTAACTCCAGACTAGACTGGTTTGGCTGGCCCTAAATAAGCTTCGTGTGACTATTAACTTTGCATCTCGACTAGGGCGAGCGGCGAAAACAACCACGACCCTGAGTGGGTCCCGAAAGGCTAAACGCTGGACGGGATTAACCTGCGAGGAGAATAAAACGCCGGGACCAGAAAGCGGCCTCATTTCCAGCACTGGTCTGATTACTGCATACCCAATTTTAGGGTCCTAAATCATAAGTTGAGCTTCCCAGGGCAGGTCAATGACCCAAAAGTGGGGAAAATTGGGGACCTGTAAGAACTTTGTGTTATAGTGAGGTTGTAATGTTTTTTGGGGGGAGGGGGTGCTGAAATTCATGTTTTGATCACTGATGATTCTGTCTTGCATTTAGGCTATGTCGGACCAGGTCAGCCGTCAGGTCAACCAGTATGCATCCTGCCGGCTATCCATAGTAGGTGTTAACTGTTAACCACCGCTGACAGCTTCGTAACATGTTACGAAGGCACCCTAACTACTTCGTAAATGCTCAAATGGCTACTAAATTCGAAATCGCTCCAAAAACTAGCCTAGAAACATGTAAAACTCGAAAAAGTGAACCAAGGTCATCAAAGGTCAGTGACCTGACCTGACGTCTCAACAAGGGTACTGACCTGACCTTCACGTGACATTGACTTCCACCTTAATGCATAGGACCAATATCATTTCACATGTTTGAAGGCTTAAAACTACATAAAAAGACCACAAACGCGCGGATAATGTGAGCCGACATACACCGAATCGCGATTCCGGCCAAACATAGTCTCGGGAAAAGGGGTCACAGTTTAAAGGTATTTGGGTCAGGGTCATGAAATTTTCAGGGTATTTGTACAATTTATCAAGTCGAGGGCACCGAAAGTTTCGTCGCGATCGGCCGCTTTTCGCGCGAGTTATTCGCGAAAAACCGATTGGGCGTCCGCTTCACCCCCCCCCCCCCCACCTGTAAGTGCGAGGTTTGTCATTCCTCGGTCAGGGGGCTATCTACCATTTAAAGGAAATAGTTCACTTTCACGAAATTATTTTTTTTGCAACGGATTTATGATTTTTTATGTTCAAAATAATCAGCAAAGAAAATAAAACCTTTTTATAACAAAAGATTATTTTCTATATTTTGATATAGGAAGAACTTTTCAGTTTCTGTAAGGCACACGCGATCCAGTATGAAAAGAGCATGGGTCCCGAAAATTCTTCAGAAACAGAGAAATTATCGCAGCCACCGGCATTTGGGCGATCTGCTCGATCTGATAATGTTCCCCTGAATGTCCTAATTGATCAGTACGAGAATTTCTCTAGAGTTCTCGTAGATAATTTCTCTACTTTCTGAAGAATTTTCGGGACCCATGCTCTTTTCATACTGGATGGAAATATATGCAAGGCACACATCCTCAACGCAAGACACCTTTTTCGGGACGAGAAATAGAATATCTTTGCCTAGGGTGATCGTTGGGCTGTAAAAGCTCCTGATTTATGCTCGTCTCAGCCCAAGCTACGGAACTGCTATTCCAGTTCAAAACCCATGTTAAAAAGTGAACTATTTCCTTTAAGTGATCGTAAGAAATTGTTTCTCACTCATTAGATAGCTCCTCTCCATGGAACTATTTAGTAATAAGTAAAAGGCGAAATGTTCATTTGTGTTAAAGGGAAACCTGAGTTATGTAAATAACAGAAATTTTGGGCTGTGAGTGTGCATCGCGCCCTCGATGTTCTTGATTGTAGTTATATCCCCTACATAGACTCTTATTGTTTATTGTTCCGCTTAGCTTAGAAATCTACGGAGCATTTGTTTTCGGTAAAACACACCTTGAAAGCCATTCATTTCACATTTTATATTTTCCAGAGATTGCAAAATGCCAATAAACCATTAACTATTTGAGACAAAAAATTTACTCCATTTATCGCGTGCAGATAGCGCTTGAACCTTTTCGATCACCAGGTCCAGCACACAATCGGCTTGTCAATTGTCCACTGCTATTGTGAAATACCGGCGTCGCTATCATTGCTTGTGAGCATGTCATTCCCAGGTCGCCTGATGGCCGTGTTTCTCCTTTCAGGTCGCATGTGTACAGCGCTGCGCGGATAAACACATCAACAGCAACCAGAAGATAATGCAGGTGTTTATGGAGGTGCAGCCCCAGGTGGTGGCGAAGCGGATGGAGAAGATGGAACAGCAGATGGCTGAGACGCAGGCGGCGGAGGCGGCGGATGTTCAGCCACAGGCGGCGGAGGCGACGGAGGCTCAGCCACAGGCGGCAGTGGAGGCGGCGCAGGCTGAGGCGGTCGCTCAGTGAACGGAGATCACTGCTTGGTTAGGTACACAAGAGCGAACTTGGTGAACATACCAAACGTGCGTGCCAACTTGAGTGAACAGTGAAAGTGCTGCGCTCTACGTGCTACAGAACAGTGCTACGGTACATTGATACGAACAGTGCTACGGTACATTGATACGAACAGTGCTACGGTACATTGATACGAACAGTGCTACGGTACATTGATACGAACAGTGCTACGGTGCATTGATGCGGACATTGCTACGGACATTGCTACGGTACAGTGCTACGGAACAGTGCTACGGTACAGTGCTACAGAGCAGTGTTGCGGAACGTTCTGTGATGTTGCTACGTATCGTGAGAGCCGCAGCACCCGCCGCCGGCAGGCTGGTCGCCTCTCGCGCCGCCGTCGTCTCGAGACTTCCTCGCTGCGTGACACCATCTCTCTCCCTCTCCCCGCGTGTCCGCCTCTGTCACTCTGCCCCCGCGCCGACTCAGCCCTTGACAAAGGTTCAGCCCCGGCTGGCGCTGGCCTTCACATGCAAGGTGTGCAACACTCGCGTGCAGAAGCTGATCTCGCGGCTATCATACGAACGCGGTGTGGTCATCGTCGAGTGTGACGGCTGCCGCAACCGACACCTCATCGCCGACCATCTCGGCTGGTTTAAACACATCCAGGGCCGGACGGTGGAAGAGATCCTGGCACAGAAGGGTGAAAAAGTGACGCGGGTGGCGTTCGAACAGGGTGCGTTCGAAGTGGTACCGCCTCAGGAGAGTGATATGGACGCAACTGTCGTGCCGCCCGCTCCGGCGTCGGAGACTGAGAGGTAGCACCGTCGGACTAGTGGCGGCATCTGTGTGAGGCGAAGGTGGCGCTGCGCTCGCGTGGGTAGTAGTGTGTTGTCTGGTGCGATATTCGGCCGTCCGCTAGCGACCTCTACGATAGACGTTAGTCGTTGAACGTCAAGGGCGAGTAGTGGTTAAAATTGTGGTGCTGAGGGGACACTTTTGTAACATCAGCTCTCTTGAGGAAACTACAGGCCGGCTCTCTATCACAGCTCAACACGAACTTGTATAAATTCGCGAGTTCGGCGCTCGTCTGTCCTAAAGACTGAGCTGACGCCTCTGCCGCTCGCGATGCCCTCCTGTCTGCTGATTCTGGTCGGCCTCCCGGGTAGCGGTAAAACCACGTTAGCCCGTAAACTCCAGCTCGCACTCTCCGGACAGTACCGCGTCGTTCACGTCGAGTACGACGCTGTCGTCGATCTTTCCGAGCAGGCTCGTCTTCAGGCCGCCGCCGCCGCGGGGGAGGGAGACGAAGGCTGGCGAAATGCCAGGAGGGAGCTAGAACGCGCTGTGGAAGAGGTGATCACTAGCGGGGACGTACCTGAGTTCATCAACGGTGCCAATATGAAAGACAATGGAACTGATGGCGTCACTGAAGAATCCACTGAGGCTGAACGTCCAACCGTCTTCATTATCGATGACAACATGTATCTACGAAGCATGCGGTATCGCTACTTCCAGCTGGCTCGCAGACATCAGCTAGGGTATGCTGTCGTCCTGTTTGATGTGCCAATGGCGGAGTGTCTTCGGCGGAACGCTGCCCGGGATCGACCAGTGCCTGATGTCGTCATTGAGGCGATGGCAGAGAAGTTGGAGCGACCTGACCCGGCCCGACTCTGGGAGGCAAGGTATGTGGTATTGGCTGGAGCTGTGACGACGGAGGGAGCGTCTGTGGATCGGGAGGTGGAGAGAGTGACTGAGGAAGTGGAAAGAGTGGAGGGTACATTTGAGACAGTGGGGGAATCAGGGATGCTGGATGGCACAAAACAGTCTGAAGAACCATTGAATGTACAAGCGGGTGACTCCACTAGCATAAGCCCACTACCGAACGACCCCGTCTCGATCGTAACGGAGCTGATATCATTCGCTCTCGCCTCTCCCGTCGCTCCTCTAGTTGACAACAGTCTGGAGGTTGAGGCATCCCGCCTCATCTGCTCCACGTCCCAGCTACATCAGCTCGACCGGCAACTGCGGCGACTGGTGGGAGAACATGCCGCCGGCTGCGGCGTCCGAGCGCGAGCGGCCAACCTGGCGCGACAGAAACTGATGCGTCGGGTTCGTGCCGGTGAGGTGGGCCTGGCAGTGGAGCCGGGAGAGGAAGGGAGATTTGCAGAGGCCGCGAGGATGTTGTTTGAGGCAGAGCTGGCGGCAGGGACAGAGTAAAGAGCTGGAGAGAGTGGACTCGCCATGGGCTGTGGTCTGGTGTAACTGTTGGGGTATTAGAGCGAGTGTGCGTTGTTGTGTGTTGACTGTTGACTGACATTGTCGTGCTTATAGGACGGGTCAGTATTGTACTATTTTGTTGAGTGTTTTGTATGAATACACATGCAGGCCTAATGATTAGTGTGTACTGAGCAATGAACTTATTGCATATTGCAGTCGTATGATCCGACACAATGCCTGCGTAGCATCGTGATTTGCGCGAATTCGTTACTCTAGTCTAACTTTATACGGCTTCTAGAACATCTAACAGCTCTGTGGTGTCAGGTGTGAACAATGCTCGCTACATGTCTCACCTTTTTACATACAGTGACACGGACGCTAAAACTCGACGGTCTATAAAGCACCACGCTTGTTAAAGGCATCCATCGAGGCATGAAGTGTTCGGCACGTCTCGACAATTACCGACATGGTTCGACAGGAAACGTGATTGAATGATATCTCCTCGCATCACGACGGCGACAGTCCAGTCCGCCGTGGACTCGGGACCGTGGAGGCATGCTACCGATGGCGGTGATAACAATTTATGTTCATAAATGAAGCGGATGTTCTTAACATTTAGTTCCAATGTTTCATATTACTCGGATACTTGAGAAAACGAAGCGATGGGGATGTAGGAATGGATTAGGGTGTTGCGATGAAGAGGGTTTGCCGACTACGTGCATGAGTTATCATATCTTTACCTCAGGCAGGCATTTTTTGACGCTGTTAGTCCATTAGACCGAATTCATCAGGAAGTAACTGAACGCGATGGTATCTCTTTGTCTCGGAAGATTCGTTTTGAGACGTCCTTTTGTTCACACTGATGGACTGGTTTATCCATCAACAGAAGGTGTAAAAACTGAAGGACACATATTGTGATAGCATCTACCACATACGGGAATGATTTAAAATGATACACCTGACAAAAAGCAGGACGTGCTCAGGCGTATTTCATCATGTGGGAACTTAAAACGCTCAGAAGTCACCGATTAGATAGAAGAGAATGTCGCTATGTTCGCTGGGGCTGTCGACTGCTCCTTTATCACTCCTGCAGGAAATCGAATGACACCGTGACAAAGGCGCTGGCACCTACAGGGTGGGGCAGCATAATCGGGAAAAAATATCGGACGAATTCATCTGGTCGTGTATTTAAAGATACAGCTCCAAGGACCGTTCTAGCAGCATAGCACCACTCTGTCACCCTTTCCCTACAAGTCACTCGATGTGATCGCCCTCCGCGTCGATGACCCTCTCTAGGCGCCTCCGGAAGCACGCGCACGCACGTGCAACCTCCTGCTTGTCCATTCCTCTCATTACTGCTGCAATCTTACGCCGAAGAGTGTCTCTGCTGGTGGCAGGGTGTTCGTTGACCTTCGATTCAACAACGCTCCACATATAATAATCCATCGGATTTAAATCGGGAGAGTTGGGGGGCCAGAAGTCTTTGGTCCACACCAACTGGAGGTGCCTTACACACCATTCTTGCGTCCTCCTTGCAGTATGAGCAGGGGCCGAGTCCTGCTGAAACACGTATGGTGAACCTTCTGTGACCCTTTCTATCCACGGCTTGACGTGAGTCTCTAGAGCGCGGATGTACACATCCGAGGTAACCATTTCTCCAGGTTCAAAGAAGAAGGGGGGCATCACGTGCCCCATGCTCGAGATCGCTCCTAGAACCATCACCCCAGTGGGATGTTTGCTACGCATGACCACAGGCACCTTGTCGATGTCATCCCCTATGTATCTGTCATTCCTTCTGTTGGTCTTCTGATCAGTGGTAAAAAGTTTTTCGTCACTGAAGATCCGAATCTTGTCCTTTGCATTCTTCTTCAATGAGTTCAAAAGCTTCTTTCCGAGACCCACGCGTTTACTCTTCATTTCCTCATTTAGGAATTGTTTCACGCGAAGTACGTAGGACTTCAGGCCTAAGTCCTCATGCACAATCCTTCTCAGTGTCCTTGATGAGACGTTGACCTGCTGGGCGATCTTTCTCATTGATTTGTAGGGGTTCAATGAGATGATCTTCTTGACCCTCCTGATGAGAGCGGACTTTCTCTTCCTTCCCGGACCGGTCCGGGTTTTCCTGCCCGCCAACGCATAGCTGAGCTGACCTGGCCCATCGCCACCGCCACCATTCAGCTCCAGATGTCTGAGTTTGGCAGCATGACGTTTTCTGATGGCGTACACAGTGCTCTTGGGTATGTTTAAGAACGTTGAAATCTCCAGAGGGGTGCGGCGCGCGCAGAGGGCTGCGAGCACTGCCGACCTTTTTTGTTGCTCATTTCCACGAGGTGTCATGCTCATGGGCCCAGTCATGTCACACGACGCACAACTCTTGGGCGATTCATTATGTTGACCTAAGTTATCATAAAAGTATCGTGCATCCACGTGACAAGGGCCTAAAAAGCGTTCCCGATTATGCTGCCCCACCCTGTATGTATACGTGTTTTCGCATCGCATTGCCATGCGTCTATCTTCCGGGTTCGCGCCCTGCAAAACCACCAGTCGAATGCGTCTCCTCACGTGCATTGCTTCCGTGACCTATTAAACTCCCCACCGCGTCCCATTCCAGCCGATTAATGTCTCGTTCCGCGCCCCTCGAATCACCTCATGTGTCATTCTGTAATCCCTTTTAGCCGCAGCATGTGGGCCCAGCTGCCAGTACCGTGTGCAGCTGCCACACTGGGTCACTGACCTCTTGGTGTCACCAACTGTGCGCACGTGCACTGATCCGTCCGTGACGGGGCGCAGGCACGTCTCGCTCAGCCGAGTGGGGCTCTGTGGGCCGCTGACATGTCGATCACAGTCTCGAGCTCGGGTGGTGCGTTCACCACCCCCGGTTTTTGCGGGCCGATTTCGACAGATGGCAATCAGTCGGTTTATAGTCCGAGATGGAAGTCAACACTGACGGCTCTGGTTGGGATGTTTGAAAGGGCTAATGGATGGATCGGGTGCTAAGTGACCTAGACAGGTAAACAGCCCTTTCGTCAACACATCGCCAACTTTTTTGGGTGAGAGAGGGTCTCTCGTCTCCATATGCAAGTGGACGTTTGCCGGGTCAGCATCACTTATTTATTAGATGTGTTCGCTATCGATCACGTGGATTCAGTCACTCACAAAATGACGATATGGACGAATTCCTCTTCCGCCTGCTTCATTCAACCTTGATTCTATTCATCAATCCGATCCCTTGGATCAAAAGCTTACCGTCCTTATGTCAAACATCATCGGGAACTCCTAATGCGCTCACTCAAGCTGTCTTACGCAAGTGACGAATGAACCCGACGGTTAGTCAGGCCGCGACGAAGACCGTGCTGGAATCTGGTTGAAGATTTCTGATACGCGGAAGTATGGAGCTTGTAACGCAAAGGACTATCGCATTCACATGTTCAATGTGGGTGATCTAAAATACCTATTGTGCCTGCTCACTTTGCACGTACAATAAAATTTACGTGCAAACGGCTTGCCTTACCTAAGGCTATACGATACGGTATGCCAAACTATAAGTAAAGTAATCTTGTGCCAGGGTTGTGGAATGGCATGTAACACAATAGGTATGCGTAACATTAGCGTCGCCACGGGGGGGGGGGCAAGCGGGGCAGCTTGCCCCCCCAACCTCGGACCGGGCACCCCCTGAGATCGATACAGATCCGATGAGATTTTGGAGTCGGGAAAAAATGGGGGTATCTTTCTGAGAATGCCTGTGAGGTCAGACTCGTTCAAGCCAGAGTCGGAGTCGCAGTCGCCAACATCGTCAAAACACCGACTCCAGACTCGGAAGTGTCAATACTGTGATTCATTTCATGTTCCTCGTTGGTTTTTTATTACATTTTATAGCTGATTTTCATAAGCTTTGAAGTGCTGATACAAAATTTGCGTTCAAAGCGTGACACTGAATCTTCGGGCCTTTCTCAACTCTCGTCACATGTCTGCGACAGACTCAAGTACCGTTCAAGTGCCACAGGGCTCATGACTGCTTGCTTTTCACACAGGCTCCGAAGGAGCTCCACTGAGCTCTAAGAAGCCTTCAGAGGGCCCAAACCGGCCTCTGAGAGTCCCACTGGTGTTCATATTCTCTGAGGGCCCATACAGGAATGTTTGAGGACCTTACACATGCGTAGACCTCTGAAGGGCCACACGGATCTTTGAGGATACTTTTAAATATTTCTGAGAACCTTAGGCCTCTGATAGCTCAGCCGAGCTTTTGAGGCGACAGATTTTGCTGAGCCTAAGCCTGCAGTTTAGGGGTCACGACTCGGGTGTGCCTCTGAGGGTCCCAGCACATGTTTCTTATGTCCCTATGTAGGGTCCTTAGGGATTCGACACAGACCTCCAGGGTTCACACTGCTATTTGAGGGCTCCCTGCTCACCCTGGGCCTGGTCTCTTAGCGCCCGCCGCCGGCGCCGCCCATGGCTTCTGAGGGTCCCACCTTGGGCTCGGAAAGCCCTAAAGCACCACATATGTACACGTAACTATTTGGGGTGACCAGCGCCGATTTTCAGGATCCTAAGCAGGCTTCTGAGAGCCCACACTGACCCTGAGTGGCCTAAAATGGCCTGGAAGTCCCAAGCCTATCGCTAAAGGATCCCTTGCTGCTATGCCGTGCGAAATTTTGGTTCCGTTAAACGTCTTTTCTTCGCGTTTGCAGCGCTTCCCTACACACGAAAAACGAGAAACTTTTTGTTCACACTACACCTCCTCTCACTGGAGCAAAGATGAATTACTTCCGATTCACACTTCCGACATTCACTCTCCGCTGAAAGCCCTACTTAGCTTCAATCGGCGGCTGGGATAAGCCCTATGCATTTTACGTAGAACCTCTGCATGCATGCGTGAATGAAAGTTTCAGCAAGGTGATTCGTTTAAGCTGAGCGTTTAACCTTTTTATGATCATGAGCGACGAGCGTCTGCACAGGGGCTCTCCAGAGTGCGTCGGCAAGCGCAGCCATTGTGATTCTACCGGTCGTTTTTTGTTCAAAAATTTAAAAAAATTAAATTTTCTGTAAAAAAATGGCAAGTCATAGCTACAAGGAAAACCTTGTCACCATCGTATTCCTCGCACCATTGCGCGTTGAATGATATGTAAAATGAATGAGTAACGACTGGAGGAAGGCAAGATTTAACACAAAAGTTGATTTTGCCCCCCCCCAACCGAAAATCTCTGGCGACGCCTATGATGCGTAAGCATTAGTGTTGAACGTCTTAGCCTCTTTCAGTGATTCAGTCAGTCTAGTCGATCGTTTGGCCCACCTAAAGATAAGATTAAGAAGATATATCCGTGATGGACAAGGCCACTCAGAGACTCAGCCCAGTTCAAGCGCTCTTGTCGCCCACCGTCCACTATCGAAGCTTCATACATTGAAAGCTCAGTGAATGGCTGCAGCAGGTTATCTGTTGAGATAGTATTCTTGGTAAATCGGTCTTCCACCGCGCGCCTTATCAGAATAGCCGTACCTAATAAATGCTCCTGATAATGATAATGACTCTTTTGTGCCCTGATGATAATAATGACATCTGTATCGCGTCTGTGTTTCATCTGTAAGTGCAAAACGACATTGTGCCACGAATGTCAGCGAGATTCGATTTATCCTGGCTGGCTTGACTTCCGGTCGTTGAAACGTTGAGTTCCGGTCGTTGAAACAAAGAGTGCTGACTGATGTCAGCCAGCACTCTTTGCTACTTACTTTCTGTGATCGCGTCTGGTGTATGTGTATGTATGCTGGGAGGGGATTGTATGTGTGTAGGGGAGGGCAGTGCGGGTTGAATGCCTGAGGGGGTGGGATGGGAAATTTTATTGCGACTGCAGCCTTAATGTGGGCCTCGGCCTGTGGTTGTTATGAAATAAATAAACAAATAAACGTTAAGGTTTCATCACTGCTCCTCTACCGCGATCAGTTAAGCAGTACGGGCTAGATCGGTAATGAGCATCGTTTGCGTGCCGTGCCAGCTCACCCTTGTGAACGCCGAACGGCTATGTGGTGCCACTCGTCGTTTCCAAGCGCTAGCACTCACAGTTCCCTTTTTACTCGCGTCCTGCCTTAAAATTATACAGCCGTGTTCGTCAATGTCATTTCCCCTTCAGTCACCCTCACCACCCGCCTTCTCGTCCCTGCATCCCTTCCCATCAGAAGCCAAATCTGAGGTTCAATTTATTTACCGATTATACAGTGATGAATAAGCACTCAGCGGCGAATCGATAACAACGGACGCACATGTGGCTATGAAAGACAGCTCGGCAGCAGGTCTATCCCGCGAGCCTGTGGCAGTTTGACGATCTGGGTTGGACAGCAGCCGCGCCGCCGATTTGATTGGTTAATGCCCGCGCATGCGCAGTACTGTACAGCTCGTCGGCGGCGGCTCGAGAGAGACCAACATCGTGTCTTTATGGCCGGTGAGAAACACTGTTACTGGGGGGCGAAAGGAACGCCAACTGGGGGCGATTCGTCCCGAAAGACAGCCAGGCGGCAGTTGGTGCACTGTTTTTCAAACACAACACTGGTCGATTTCCGCACCGTGGCAGAGGCCACTGGCACACACGAACCTACAAAAGGAGTATAAGGATCTGGGCTAGAAAAAGGCTACCATAACTTCGGTAAAAGAACAGTAATGTCTCGCGAAAACCAAACGACGCGCTTCGCTTCGTTGCTCGCGAATGTAACACAGACCGGCATAAATTCAAACTAAATATCACTCCGACGACGAAGAACAAACAACTGGATCACCACCGTATGAGCTTTGCGAGCTCTCACTCCGGGCGGAGTGGGACTCGGCTGAGGGGTCCCACCGGCGCCCCACCCTCCCATTGACGGGGCGGGGCGCCGCGATGGTCCCTGGGTCCATGGCAGCTCAGATCGCACCACAACACACATACACACACACGCACAGGGCACCGCGCGCGACCCCAATGACTACACACTGCCATTCTGACGCACCCGAGCCCTGTGTGACGCCCGTTTGAGCTATGTCTACCGCGGCGCGACGTCCGGCTGGGCTATACGGCGCAGCCAGCGCCCCCGCTCCAGAGATCCTTATTCTGTCACAATGCCGCCGCGCCGGGGAACAGCCGACACATACTTGGTCTACCGTCCCCGGGGGCTTCGCACGTCTGTCTTGTGGCTGGTGCGAGTCCGCAACTAGGCGACAAGAGGGTCCATCCCGGAGGATTCCGCCCTCTGCCGCCGACCCGACCCCACTCATTACTTCTCCTTGAGGTCATGGTCGCTGAACTCCCTGAGCACGACCGTGGCGTACTCTAGACGGTCGCGGAGGGCGCGGCTGCAGCCGATTCCGCTCAGGTCGACCAGGGGGTAGGAGGCCGCCCTCCGCTCCGAGTTGATGTATGTCACCGTCAGCTCGGAAGACGGACCGGCGGCAGAGAGAATCACCTTCGTGTGGTCCTTGAAGAAGTTTATCTGCGGAAGGCGAAATAAAGTCAGTCTCGGTCAAGTGTAAACAGATACCGAGGAGAATGAATAACTCTTAGATGCGTTAGACACTTATGCAACGTATTGATTACGGTACTTTAGATGAGGTCAAGTACAGACTACTGTACGCTGTGCACGATAAACTAGGCGCATGACTCCCACATCACGTGTCAACGCGATACATTCTCCGGAAACGCAGCCCAAAATAAACAGTGCAATCACAAGCAGCATTACATTCCGATGATATAGACAAATAAACGTTACATATTAAATAAGCCTGATACCATTACCACACCGCCATTGCACACGGCCTGAACATAGATAACTCCGAACTATCGCATCACCTACCTGTAGCGTGCCGTTCGAGAGCTGCATGATGATGGCCTTGTGGGTGCGCACCCAGCGGCGCATGTGCACCTCAGGTGCCGGCGGCGGCGGCAGCTGGGCGCCGGCGGCCGTGCCTCGCGTCTCCCCGCCCTCCGTCAGGTTCTCGTCCATGTACTGGCTGAAGTAGCGGAGCAGTGTGAAGCGCTCCTGGAGCAGCGACGGCACCTGGGACGGCTCGTAGGAGCACGAGCGGCCGTGGCGGCCGACGAAATCCACCCGGCTGAGGGAGAGAGAACGAGCGATCAGTCGAGCGTGGACAGATGGGGGCGAGGTAGGGCTAAAAACGGTCACGGCGGAAACATGGTAGGTGAACAGGGCATGACGAAAACTCGGCACAAAACTGAATTAGGACAGTCTGGGAACAAGACCACGCCGTGCTATGTTGCACACCAGCTCGTGACTACGAATTCGCTTTGTCCACACTGACAGCACGCTGTTGCAGACATACAATGCAAAACAAAACAAAAAGTGACGAAACGAAACACAAAAGCATAACGTTTGCAATGTCCTAAGTGTATGAATGATACGACATAAACACGACCGAGTGCAGCCAAGCACGGGAATGCGCCTAACAATATGTCCGTTCCATTTAACGAACCACGACATACATGTATGGTGCAAAACCACCGGTAAATGTCCCAAATTCTCACCTCTTGTCTTGCAGGTACAGCACTTTGGTGGAGTCGTTGAAGAGCACGCCGACGCTGCGGTCGCTGAGCTGGAAGCCGAAGCCGTACTTGTTGCTGTAGTCGATCCACTTGGTGATGAACAGAGGCGAGTGTGGCACTGGCTCGGGATTTATGTCAGCGTCTGGGGAAGGTACAAGGGATTCGGGTCAGGGCCAGTCGCATATGCTATGCAGAAATTGTGCAGCATGCATGGCTTCTAAGCCAAGCTGTAGGACAAAGTCCAGACAGAGTGTTAAATACAGCTAAATGCAGGGCTTCAAATGTCGCGAGGGGCCATCGAATTACCTGCAAGCTAATACCCAGAAAGGTGCAAGTTCACCCACTTCCAACCACCACTCAAGAGTCAAGTTTCCATCGAAAGCTCTTTAAAATATTCTAAAAAAAAAACAAAGCCAGCATTCCTTCGTGACATCTGAAAGTGAAAATGCTCCTCAAAGAGCTCTCCATAGAGACAGCGAAGGCCATCTCTGTGCCACGGCCGAGAGAGCACACTCAACTCAGATCTCCGCTCAGTCGTGAGCGATTTCAGAGATAGCATCCACCGCCACAGAAACGTGCGGGATCGTACCGATCAGAGAGGAATATCACTGTAATGGGAACACTGGCTTCACTCACCCTCCGGGACTGACTGGAGGCACTCGGAAAGCGCTTTGTACAGGGTGGCCGACGTCCATTCCTTGGCCTTCTTCTTGTCGGACGAGGGTCGGAACACACTGGAGATCTTCTGGCGGATCGAGCCGTGGAGCGACGTCTCCTTCTCCTTCACCTGAGAGGAAGGAAACACAGAAATGTCACAAACCGTGCAATGCAACATAAATGGTTGAATACATTACAATAGAATCACGATTTAATTTTTTGAGCGAACAACTTTCACCTTTTTGGGCATTGTTGATGTTTACTGGTGTCTATTATTCACTTTTACTGGCGTCTATCGCGTCTATTACTCACAATCTCTGACGTGCACTTGCTCATAAAAAGTCACGGGTGGCACGTGCTAACGGAAAGCACGAGGCAACAACTTCATGGTACCTTTTCCTTGCTTAAGAACATGTGTTATCATCATATTGCAATCACGGAGCTGGCATCGGAAGCGACGAATCACGCGTTGAAATAAAATACATAAAACAAAAATGCAGGCATCCCAGTCTAGGTGCACTGTCGCCTTAGCACCAGATGTAATGCAAGCATGTCAAACGAATGAGTCACCTAGTCAACTAGACAAACGTTGTTGTCTTTGAACTTCTGGGCGTACCCACATATGATTAATTCGGAGGAAAACAGGCTATTACAAGGTCAAATGATCGACGATCTGATCACAACGGCTGTTTCCTAAATGAGTCACTACAGCAGCATCGTATGCCGCCGTTACCACGCTCGTCGTCCGGTTGCATGCATGCAGTTTGCAACGAGTTTAGCAGTTTTGCAGCAGATAGTATGATTCATACCGTCGAGGCGGACTTCTCTCACAAAAATGTTCGACGTCGAGCGTGCATAACTTGCATTAGAATTTAGAAATCTAACTTTCCTCACCAAAACATAACCAATACCGCACCATGTTCCACTAGCCCTCCTCATTGATGTTTGTTTGTTTGTTTGTTTGTTTTGTTGGGTTAGGCCCTTTCGGTCGACAAGACCATTGCAGAGCCGGAAGGATGATAGGATTTAGGGGGAGACATTGGCCTGGGCAGGCACCCTAGTGAGTCGCCGGGGCTGAGCCCGTCCAGAGGACAGGCCACCCAGCCCCAAGGCACTCACTGCACCCGGCTACGGGGTGCGCTCCCTCAGGAGCAGCGGTGCCGCTCCAAGGGAGCAGCCCGCATGAGATAAAGTTGCCTGTCCAGCCCGGAGGGGGTGCGGCGTGGAGGAGAAGGATTTCAGTATCCTGAGGATAGAAGCATGGAACGGTGTCCTCATTGACGACAGCTCACCTTTTCCATCAGCTTGCTATTGTCTTTGACGCTCTGTGACCGCACCAGGCGGCCAGAGGAGCCGCTGCTGCCACCAGCGCCGCGCGCCGGCGACTTGGGAGACACGAGCTTCACCTCGCTGCGGCTAGAGGGCAGGCGCATCGCGTGCAGCGGCGGCTCCACCTCTCCGACACCTATGTGCTCGAGCACCTGGGAGGCGGGTCGCACGGCGGCCGGCGGCGCCAGCTTGGGCGCGTGCGTGCAGCACGAGACGGGCAGCGTGGTCATGAGCTGGCCACTGTGGAAGAACTGGTGCTGCAGCATCTCGGCCGTGGTGGGCCGCATGCGCGGACTGGGGTGCAGCAGGCGCGCGATCAGGTCCGAGGCGGCCGGCGACAGCTGCGGCGGCAGCGTGTACTGGTTGTTGGTGATGCGTTTGTACGTCTCGTTCAGGGTCTCCGTCTCGAAGGGAGGCTGTCCTACCAGCATGGCATACCTGGGAAACAGAACACAGCACGTCAGCAATGAACGGCAAACATCCATCGCCGGCTTCGAACACGGTGTGGCAATGTTGTAGCGTGCAGCCATGGTCGAGCGGCACGAACATAGACCACCAAATAGGCAACGTTATCAGCGAGTAGCACTCGCTGACTCCAAACCAAACATATCGCAGCAGGTCAAATTAAATATAACTCGGGAAAACAATTACGAGCGCAATGAGTCAGCCCTCAGCAGTGCGGAACAATCGTGGGCGCCAGTCAGACACGTGTAGCCCGTCAAATCCACTATCAGCTCGAGCCGTGACAGGATACAGTTTGATCGCCTGACCACCTGGCCAGACTTAAAGAGTTTGGTGGTATGAGTCACTGTAAAAACGCGCTATGTAGCCACTGATGGGGGTCGAGCGATCGCGGTGGGTGTCTGCCTCTTCAAATAAACACAAACACTGCAACATCAACAGGTCGATAGCAAACATTGCCAGCCTACCCTACCCACCTCTCTAAGCTACCAAGCCGTTGGCGCAGGCACCAAACAATGTTCCCTTGAATGGACTGATTGCCGTCGATAGTGCTAGTTTTGCGCTGGGGCGCTATGGAAGACTGCAAGCCCTTCTAACGAACCAAGCAGGTCCACTAATCAGCTACATTGCCGTAGCCACCCCTAAACATCCTCCCAGAATTCGTTGACAGAATTTTTCAGCTTCTTCAGTCATGTTAGAACGAAGCCCGTGTTCGGCTTAGGTAGATATCACGTCGACAGAAGCAGTACAAGCCTTGTCCAAAACGGCACATACCAGAGACTTTATCCTCCTAATCGTTTCAAGCACATAGTCTCCTGAGCTTAATTGCTTTCATGCCACAGTCAACCGCACTCCTATCTACAGCAAATCTTAACTTAACGACGAGAGTGATGTTAGACGTCTGGGAAAACGAAAGGGATTAGTAATTCCTAAAATCCTCCCACGACGCCTAATCTTTCTATTGGAGTTCAGATATGAAATGAGCAGCAAGAACATATGCTGCGATGCCGAGCATAAAGAAAAATGTTCAGATGACAAAGTAGCGAACAACTGGAGAGTCCGTCACTTATGATAATCGGAGATAAGCTCGTTACAATAAGTAACCTCGCTTGTAAAACACAACTCGTTGAGCAACAACGGACTATTGTTCGACTGACCCAAAACAAGGGCGTTCCTGCTTTGCAACAACCGTGGCGGGGCAGCGGAAAGCGACAGCCCGGCACGGCTGGAGCGATAGTGGCGTGTTCGGCGCGGCTCGCGGTCGCACGCCCGCTGCGGTTGGCCTGCGGTCTGTTGCGAGCGGACGAGAGAGATTGCCCGTTTCACTCCGCTAATTCGGCTCAAAACAGTATTGTTGCCCCAATCGGGTTGTGCGGGTCGCATGTTCAGCGATTTCCTTTCCTGGCACCCAGCATTGGGACATCGACAGAACGAAAAAAAACACACGCCGAGCGTCGCCGTCACTGCGAGCACGCTCCGACTTGGCGCAAACACCATCGAACGCACAAACTCGACGGCAAAAAACCGCCAGCGACTCCGATAAATCGTCAAAATGGGCCATCGCCGCAATCCGTGCCGATTTCTGCGCTGGGGGTCGCACGGAGCGCCAGGGTGTCCTTCTAATCACGCCACTCGCCGGGTCGGCGGATCGGTCTGCGGCAGTAAAAAAACACCGACCAAGTGCTGTGTCATCACCGATGATTTGACGTATCAGATTACGCGAGGCTGGGGGTTCCTCCGAGAGCTTTGCGTGAGTTGACAAAAAAGATCGATGGACACTCTTCTCAAGGGGTGAGGCTGAGTGAGATCCCTACTTCCAGTTGATTTTATTGACGCTAGGATTACGTGATACTTGCAAGTGTTTCAGCGATCTACCTCTACAAAAGCCCTAGAGATAATCTCAGTCAACTGAGGTTTGATGACACCCGGTAAGAATGCAGTTAGTTAGGGAGCATTCACAAAAACCACCCGCGCCGACCGGGTCAACTTCGCACGGCTATAAAACAACCGCGCTACTATAGCGAGCATAACTTATGAGAGCCCTTCGCCGCCGAGCGCGCGGACGATCCATCGACTGAAAAGCCATCCGGGAGAGGAGAATATAAGGCGGCGGGCGGCACTGGCGGATCCAGGGGGGGGCCACGGGGGCCATGGCCCCCCCCAAAGGCCTAAAGTGGCCTGTTTGGCCCCCCCCAAAACGTAAGAAAAATTGCTAAGAAAATATACCTTGATGGAGGTTTTTAGCCACTTGGTGAAGTAAAGCTTTCCACAGCATAATATGGAAGCAATATGGTAGCAGTGAGGGTCAGTCAAAAGTTGCGCGAGTGGAGTCGACCTTCAAAAAAGACTTGTTGGCACGTGTTTATGGCGCGGTAGCTGGGAGTTGGCGGTGTTTCGCGTGGTGTGGCATCGCTGGCGGATCCGGGGGGGGGGGGGGGGGGGCACGGGAGCCTGAGGTGCCCCTGACAGACCCGTGGTGCCCTTGGTAGGTCTGTGGTGCCCCTGGACCTTGGCAGGCCTGTGGTGCCTCTGGCGGGCCTAGGGTGCCCCTGCTAGGCTGCTGATGCCCCTGGGACCTGACAGGACTGTGGTGCCCCTGACAAGCCTAAAGTGCCCCCAACAGGCCCGTGATGCCCCCGACAGGCCCAAGGTGCCCCTGCGTGATGCCGTGATGCCTGCGAGGCCGGTGGTGCCCCTGCGAGGTCGGTGGGGCCCCTGACAGGCCTGTGGAGTTATTTCTATTATCAAACTATGTTAGTAATTAGAAGTGCCTACATGATTTAGGTCATTCACTAATTATGAAGTGCCGGAGTGAATATGCACATGTCATATGCCGCGTGATTCAAAAATGCAAGAACGGCAAATTTTGAGCAGCAGCGCGGCGGCGAAGGGGGAGCGGCAGAGGAACGAAGGAAAGTGGATTTATTGATATGGAGTTAGCCTTGTATGGAGTGGAGTGAAGCAATTGTAGAAGCGTAATTGTTGAGTTCATGGCGGATTTCGTATTGAGTTGAAATCGATAAACGCTTTACTTTTATTCGATCTCTTTCTAGTACAATACAAGGCCCATGGTGCCCCTGCGAGGCCGGTGGTGCCCCTGCTAGACCGGTGGTGCCCCTGGCAGGCCTGTGGTGCCCCTGCTAGGCCGCTGGTGCCCCTGGGCCCTGACAGGACTGTGGTGCCCCTGACAGGCCCAAGGTGCCCCTGTAAGGCCTGTGGTACACCTGCTAGGCCTCTGGTGCCCCTGACAGGCCCATGGTGCCCCTGCAAGGCCGGCGGCTCCCCTGGCAGGTCTCTGGTGTCCCTGACAGACCTGGGGTGCCCCTGACAAGCCTAGCCTGTGGGGCCCCTCACAGGCCCGTGGTGCCCTTGTTAGGCCTGTGGTGCCCCTGGCGGGCTGGTAGTGCCCCTGCTAGGCCGGTGGTGCCCCTGACAGGCCTGTGGTGCCCCCGGGCACCAAGGGGGGTCATGACCCATGTGGCCCCCCTTGGATCTGCCACTGGTACATATTATATTGATTTGTAATGGCGTTATGGCTTATGCAATATGCAATTGCAGGCACTTGGTATCCCTCACTTATCCCTCATTGGGGGCTCTGGCGGGCTCCTGAGGGCCCACGTCTATCTCCGGGAGCCCTAGACAGGCTCCTTTGGGTCCTTTCAGTCCACTATAGCATAAGAGGTCTCCATGCGAGTCCTATACATCTGAGGACGTACCCTGACGTCTGAGGTACTCAACTGCAGCTCCAATGGTCTCTTACACTGGCGGATCCAGGGAGGGGGCATTTAGGGCCATGCCCCCTTCCCAGAGGCCTAAAGTGGCCCGTTTGCCCCCTCCCCCAAGCGATAATGAAGCACAGTTCAATCAGTGCCTGGCCCAGGAGCCGAGTTAGACCACCTCCCGTTTTACCACCTCCCGGCCCGCAAAGGGACCCAAGCACTGACTCGAAGCGGGTTAACTGGTCGACAAAAGCAATAGTAAGTGTTTACAAAGTAATATAAAGGCATGGGTCGGGTGGGCTACCATTTATATATTTTTATTTTTAGTTAAAAAAAATATTCATAGTGTCAGGGCTGTGACGAAAAATAAGTGGCCTAAATCCGATGAGAAAACAGGATTTGGGGGTACCCTAGGTTTGGCTCCTGCATGAGTTGGCCCCCCCCCCCCCCAAAACGCAAGTCTGGATCCGCCAGTGGCGGGCGGCGGCTTTGTCTGAGCCGCCGGCGGCTGGCTGCGCGGCCCGGCCGTCGCGCAGAGTCGGCGTCCAGCTCGCTGCAGACTCGCTGTCAGCATTATCACGAACCACCAAACAAAGCCGGACCGGATGGGTCGGGGATGGGGCTGCAGCCAGCCCGCGCGGCCATCGGTTATTACAGCTCTGCCACCTGGCCACAGACCCGGCGAGAGAAAAAAACAGCAAAACTGGCTACACACGACGGCAAGTTCAGTAATGAAGAGTCATTCGCATTAGCTATCCATCATGATATTCATCAGGAAAAATATCAAAAATGCATTAGACAAACTGGCCAAATTGCGATTTTCCCCGGACGCAGCCTCAACAAACATTTAATGGAACACCTCGCGCAGTTTCGTGACAAGTTTGCATCGTTTTTTCCTACCCGTCTGTGCCCGGCAGCCAGCACCATCAATCCCGCTCGCCGGCACAGGCCCACCGCTGCCAGCAGTTGGTTCTCACGGAGTCATTACTGACGGCCTGACGCGTACGGCAGGTCCGACGGTCACCGGCCCGGCACAGCCTCGACCTTCCGCCGGAAGTCTCACACATCCGGCCGGCGCAGCGTCTGCCGCCTTTCGCCATCGGGTGGTGTCGAGTTAAACACTGTGTTCTGGAGCTGAGGTGGGTGCGGCTCATCTCACACCTGTCCAACTCACTCTCAGTTGAACACATTCACTCTCGATCACTCTCTCGCGCGAGCTGATCGCTGGCCGCGATTCTGCAGCGATCGGAACGATCTTTGAAATGATCTCACGACCGTTTCGTCATTGCGAGTCACGGACGTCGAAGCTGCGTCGTGATGTGGACGCGATGCCAAGACAATAGCCACGGTCGTGACGGTCCCATTGTCATCACTTTCGATGTCGATGGGGTAAACCTCTAGCCCTTTATCCGAACTCTGCCACGAAACGCGCTTTGACGAGTTATCATCACGTGATGCAGGCGGAACTGCGATGCTATGTGATACCATCACTGGCATCGATTGCAGTTTGGGACTTTCACATAATTTTGCAGAGACGTCAGTATGGTTCAGCAACAAAGAAAAAATTACATGTTTCTCTTCTAGCAGCCGCTTAGAATAAAAAAGGTGCTTTTCGTTGATGACTGTTTTTGGGCGTATCACTGCATTCCCGATTACGGCTGCAGAAATTTCGTCCGCATGGCTGCGTCGATTTGCAATTGTACTTTGCACAGAGGGGATCACCTGCGAAGGTCATTTGACAGGTGACCCACAGCAGGGGATTGAGAGGTCGAATTTCATCGGATTAGTTTCTGGCATACGTGGAACGTTTCCAACAAGTGGTGGCTGTGATAGCCACAGCGCAATGATGATAGACTTCTATCAACAATGAAACAAAAAGTAGGCGCCCATCAATGTGCGTCACCCGATACCGAAGTCGTGCGCTATCAGCAGGAAATATCGCCATTCGCTGATGTCATACACAGCTATCGACCTATATCCAAAATCGGCGGTCATAACCTCACCACAATACCTACACCGCGATGCCCGCACATTTTTATCATGCCCGACATTTAAAACGTATACCAGCCAAAACCGCAGCCTCCATTCTTACATACCCGCGTGGCGCCCGATCCGTTACCTGCACGAGTCAATCCAGCCATTGATGGAGTCATTACTGAGTCACTAATCGAGTCGCTATCGAAGTCATGACTCACATGATGCAGCCCATGGCCCACGTGTCCGCCTCGTAGCCGTGGCCGAGCTTCTGCAGCACCTCCGGGGCAATGTAGTTGGGAGTGCCGCAAATGGTCCTGAAACACAGACGGATAGGTGCGTCAGACAGGCGGCAGGGCGGGAGACCGGGAGGGGGAAGGGTTGAGGGGCGTCAATGGGGGTGTCTGTGGGGACGGGGAGGGTGACGGACTGGGCAGCAAGTTTGACCGTCCTAAAACGACCACCTCTAGCGCTGACGCTGTTCTTTGATAGCTGATAAGCGTCAATGGCAGCAGCACGATTTGAGCCTGTACATGACAGGCAGACACGGGGAGCAGAAGTGTTGTGCTGCCATTTTTAGTCGGTCGATACCAACACGTATTCCAGTCAGTTGTGTAGATAGAGTCGCGAACGAGCCACGAAGGACGTCGGTTTGGCCATGACATTTTCATGACATTATTCTGGGAGACAAGTGCCTGGGCCCCTTGAAAGTGCAGCAGTTCACAAATGCTCCGCTCCATATAAAACAAACCCATTCACACAATCGCTGCATATCGACAGCCTTTAGACGGATCAACAGTCTCACTTATCGCATGCCCAACTTCCTCAAAAGAACAATTCACACTGCTACAGCAACATCGCTGCCATCAAACTTCCCTCCGCCCTCAGCGGGACAGTGTGAGCCGCCCTTTACTTCGCGCCGGTCGTTACTCGCCAAGGGGCGGTCAGACCGTTTCAGAGCGGTGACCTCAACTGCGGGGTCACTGGCCATGCCCGAGTGCACAGTGCTGCAGTGTGCACTTTACCCAGCTGTACCTGCACCACCCAGTTACGATCCGTAATGCAACGACCTCCACGCTAGACATGATTGCGGTAATTATGACGGTCTGTGCCACACAAACTAAAGCTAGTTTCACACAGACCGTCAACCACCTTCCGCCTGGCTTGTTCGCATTGCATGCCGTACAAATCAGGCCAGCGAGAGTTATTGGAAAGTTCTGAAATCGCCGTCCCATAGTTTCCCATAACCACTGCGAGACGCAAAGCTGGGCACAGCGGGAGTCCAAATACGGGAGACAGTTCGGCTTTCTGAAGACAGCTGACTTGGTAAATCGTGCGCCCCGCCCACAGACATAAACTCTGCCCAGCAGCCTCTCCTGCACCTCTCCCTCAGCAGCTCAGCCCCAGCAACCAGCAACAGGAAACCACAATCACATCCACCAGCTCAGTCGCGTCTTGTCAGGTCACAGTGGCGAGCGTGACTGGGTTGGTCTCAAGTCCTGTGCGTTCCGCGTTGGACCCAGGTCCTGTGCGTCCGAGTTAGGTCGCTCTGGAGCGTGGGGCGCGCTCAATGCAGCAGCGACGATCAATAGCCCGGGGGCACAGCGCCGAGCAGAGCGGCGTCCGAGCACTTCCGGCGCCCGAGGGCGAGAGTTGGGAGCGCCGCCGGCCAGAGTTGAGATCCGGGGCACGCACGCAGAACGCAGAGGCGCGCGTGGGGCGGGCGGGCGCTCCGATCGTAGCCAGGAAAAACGGTAGACCGGAGCCGGGTCGTTGTTAGTCCATGAGTGTTGGGTCAACACGGGCCAATCTGCTGTCAGTTGTGATGGACAGGTGGGGGAGGTAGTGACAGTCTGGACGGACAGCCCCTGGCATGGAGAGAAGACCCCCGGCCCTGCCGCCGAGCCACTGAAATCGAGCCGTTTCCTGAATACCTTCACAGAGCCAACTCAGAGGCGGAGCTCGCAGTTCTGATTATGTTGGCCTAGGCGCAGTCTAGCGGCCCTGAGATGTTTAAAACGAACACTGCACCCGGTTGGCAGCCACTGCAGAAACGCTACACACACGCACACATTGTGCGTAACTTCCGCCCAGCCGATGCAAAACGTCAATCTGTCCGTGATCTGAGGTGGATTTAACCTTGCAGCTCGCAATGCCTTTGTCTTTGAAGCGATCTATTCTCGATGCAAGTGCGTTGACCCGTGCCGCTAAGGCCGGCCTCGGCGGAACAACGCTTTTCCCTGGAGCACAATCAGCCCCTCGTTTAACCGTCCAGAAATCCCCGCTGACAGGCCGCCTTGGTTTACTCAGCCGGCGCGGCGACGAACAAAAACTCAGCGCCGATAAACGCGCCATCTGCGGGTAGTTTGCATTCATCGACAGCGGGGTGCCTATTGTCAGAAAAACGCCGCCGCTGCCGGGCCCCGTGAGATATCATAGTCGCTATCACCAGTATTGACCCACGCCGTCCTGTTGAGACTCCCTCCCTCCCAACACACGCCGGTACACATACAAACACACCCCGTGCAGGCTGGGCGGCGGGTCGGAGAGGGAGCCTCAGAGGTCTGCCTTAGGTCTGTCCTGCCGCGCAGCTCGGCAGGGCGTCCCACCTCGCCACGGCGACTGGAGCCGAGGGGAGAAGACAGGCCGCCATGCCTCGGCAGATGGATCACCGCCAGAAAGGGAAAGGAAAATAGATCAACTGATAAACGCTCGGCGTAAATACCAGCTCGGCTTGCGAAGGAGGGAGCAGCGGAGCGCGGAGGGAGCACGGAGCCAAGCAGGAGCGAGTTGAGGGCGAGTTGGCTGTGAAGTGGGAGCGAGCGGAGGCATGGGTGGAGGGTACCGCCCGCCCTGGGAGGCAGCAGCGCTGGATTTATGATCGAGACCCGCGGCGGCCGAACAGATCCAGTTACAGCGGGAACGTGGCATGGGATGAGATGGGGTGAAGGAAGGGACAGAATGAGTTAGGATGAGAGGGTATAGGGTGAGATGAGACTTGACAGTACGGCACGAAGCCCCACACGCGACCATGAGGGGAGGCGCCAGCCGCTCTAAATTCGGATCCGGCACGCTCATTATTTAATTACACTCATTAATCTGTCAGAGTGAATTATCCACTCAGTGGGTAGACCTCATACGATCTGCCAATGAGCTGGCTGGCAGAAAACCAAGCTAGCAACAGCTCCGGCGCCATGCTGGCTGCTCTTAACTCCACAGCGGCTGCTCAACACTGGCTAATCCAAACTCTTGCAAACGGCTCCAAGAAATGAGGAAACATTGAGCCCCGCCTTCCCGCACCGGGACGCCGAACCGGCGTGTCACCGTTACTCTCGTCCGGCGATGTCGCACACACCGGCCCCACGGGAAATCCATTCCAGAAAACCGTCACTGGGAACCGCAGGTCGGCGATAATCAAACACGCTCTGGAGACCGGACCGACTTGGGCGGCGAGTCGAGCGGCCCGCCACAGTCGCGCTATGCATACGGAGAGTTTCAGGAACAGCCGTGTGCCGCGGCCGCCGGCACCAAGGGAAGGTCGCTGTGCAAGACTAACGTCATCGGTGGGAGAGGCGGCGCGGCTTAGACGCCGCCCTTTGCCCTCACCGAGGAGTGGTCAACATGCCCACATTCAGTTCTTATGTGATCACTCATCGGAACAAAGAAGAGATTGTGCTCTAGCTGAGAGCTCTCAGCAGAACGCGCTGCGTTTTATCCACTCATCAATCCGCACCCAAAAAGATCTACTTTGTTTCTGTCGCAAAGACAGAAAGTTCAGGTTCAGTTTCAGTTTTCAGTTTCAGTTCAGGTTCGCAAAGTTCAGGAAACATCACCCGCCCTATGCATCCCTACATTTAAACACCCGCAGTGGGCAGCTGTGGGACCCCAGCTGGCCGGTCGTCGGCCCGCTGCCGTCACGGTCCGGCGCCGCTGCCGCTGGGTTCAGGGACCGGTCGACCAGCACAGCGGCGCACCAGACCAGCGCCCCGACCAGCGCGGCCGCCGGACGCGGCGCGACAACAAGAATGTGCCCCATCACCGACCGCCGCCGCCCCCGCCAACCACCGCCGCCACCGACAGACCTTCTCGGCGCAGCTCCATTAACAAAGAGCTGCCGGCCTAATAGCCCCGCATCTGCGCGTAAGCGTCGCCCGACACTGGCAAGGGGTACGACCGGCGCCGATCAGTCCAGGGTAATGACACCAGCGGGCGGCCGAGGAGGCGAGACCACGGCAGCGGCCATGGGAACCGCCGGGGGCGCGGTGCGAGGCAGGCAGTCAGTGGAGCGTCCAGCCACTTCACGGCTTCATCGGCCGCGCCCGAGCTGCCGCCGGGGATGTCTGGGGGCGGGGCGGCCGGGATGAGTGGCCACGCGGGGGTGGGTGGGATGGGCTGGATGCAAAATACCCGGTAATTGCAATGCTGATATAACCAAAAATACTGATGCTGATGATCAAAGAGAACAAAAACAGACATCAGAAAAGTAATGGATTGCACTTTGGCAAAGTTGACTATTCCTGCAACATCTTCGATTACGCAGAGCCGATGACAAAAGCTGTCTCTTCGCAAGCCTCCAGCACGACCCGCTCTCCCGTCTTCCTCCTGCACTGTTCCCTGTTCCGCCTCCCTCAAAGAGAGCCCGGCGACACGGCGCAGCTGATCACCATTCCGAGGCCAGTCCCACGAGACGGGTTTGGCGTGACTGCGCCGGCAGCACAACAGACGGCAAACCGGTTTGGGCGGCTTTAAACGCGTATCATCAGCATCATACTAATGTACTGCCCGGTGCGCCGTGTACGACGCCCTGCACTATCGGAGGGGAGCTTCATAGAAGATAATCGACGGAGCTACGATCACCTGGGCGCATGCAATATTGCAGGTATGATTTATCATTAGAAGGATACAGCCGCAGGTGTTGGTAACTTGCAAGATAATGGCACACTCCTTCGGTGAGTGTCGCTTCCCCAAACGCCAGCAGTTGGAGAATTACAGGGCGCGTGGGTCGGCACTTAGTGACCGTCTCTGCAGTTGTTGACAGATGTATCATTGCCGCTGACGACAGGCGTCACACTGATGCTGATGACGGGTCGTCACGGTCGTCAGACTGATGCTGATGACAGCCGTCAGAGTACCCTCCCGCTCTGCCTCTCTTCCTCTCCTCTTTCCACTGACCGTCGGCCAATTAGCCGCAGTCTGGCCGATGATAAACATGTTTGCAGCGCCGGCTCGGCGCCGGGCGGCTCTTCAGAGTGTTCCCCAACCACCGACCGGCTCCCACAGGCGCGTCCCGGCAGCCAGGGGCGGCGCGGGCGGCGGG